CCACCACCACCACCACCACCAGCACCAGCAGCAGCAGCAGCAGCAGCACCAGCAGCACCAGCAGCAGCAGCACCAGCACCAGCACCAGCACCAGCACCAGCAACAGCAACAGCAACAGCAACAGCAACAGCAACAGCAACAGCAACAGCAACAGCAACAGCAACAGCAACAGCAACAGCAACAGCAACAGCAACAGCAGCAATCAGCTGAGTAGAACAAACTTTCGTAGTAGCAGTAGAATTGTTAGATACGTACATGCCGCTCCCCCCATGACGTTCACTGTCCAGTAGGCAAAAAGCGTCGGTAGCAGAGCTTCTAAGAACACTCACATGCAATGAGGATAAGGTTGCACTTTTTGCTCATGCAGAGTTGCTAGAAACGAGCCCAGTGACTGCAGGCTTCTGGAAATCGAGATTACGGGCGGAAAGGATCGGGCAGAGGACGTACTTGGCCGCCTGCATCCGTGGTCATAATGGCATCACGACCGTTACAAGTTCTGTTGCCACGTGTGTCGCTAAGCGTTGCCACGATGATTTTGGCTAGTTTTACTGGCTTCAATTTCTGCAGCCGGCTATTAGCAGTATTGGTTGCTATTCCTAACTGGGCATTTGCAGAAAAAGCGGGTTCATAATTTCAGCTCCAAATCGTAACGTTTCTGCTACAGGGCCCATGCCTGAGAAGCCAACACTGACAGCATGCTGGGGACAGGACTTGGATGCGGCGGCTGTACACTGGCGTGTTAGGAGGCATGCAAGACCATGAATGAAGAGGGATACATGAATACACGGGCTGCGCCAGGATCACACGGGGATTTGTAAGGGGTGCACAGTGCAGTACGTGTACTTCAGCTTTCAGACATGGCAGAAAAGGGTGCATATGCCGGTGTTGTGTAAGACAACATGATAGACATTTGTTTGTCACTGCCGTCAGGTCTCAGTCCTTCAGATGTGAGAAGATTATTGGTTTTCTGACTGAGGTTGCTCCGATTTTCATAGGGAGTGTTGTTCTCGTAGGCTTCCCTACATTATTGTATAATGTATTGTAATATTCTGTCCTAAGCCCTAAACCTTAATCAATCCTAAGAACTATGTTAGTATATTATAGTATGTTATAGTATGTTATATCGTATATCATAGTATGCTATAGTAGAATGGGACCTGGGAGAGTGCCAGGTGGATGCCTGAGGGCACATTTTGCATTGCCAGCAGTCGGGAGCGAATCGCCATTTTGCTGCGAGCTCAACATCACAGTTTGGGGATTAGGGTTTAGGGATCAGGATTTGGGGATTCGAGTTTAGGGTTTACTCCTACATCTCAGGATACTCATAACAGAGCATCATGTTGCCTGGCCCAGGCCCGGCTATGGCCTTGTGCCCATCGAGGATCAGAACGTGCCTCGGTAGTTGATTATCACAGGCAGACCGAAGATTATCTATGTCTCTGCTCCCGCGTGTCCAGAGGCGCCTCCTGTGTCCATTGCAGTGGGCGAAGGCTCCGACAGAACCGGGAAGGAAGTGTCCTAGGTTTCTTATAGCCTTGCGACCCAAGGTGGGCACCGTACTTGATTATTGCAGACCCAATTGCAGGACGTAGCGCAGCTCTTGTGCCTCGTGTGAAAACACAGATTCCAATTCCGAAATGGTGTATACAGCGATGCTCAGATCTGAGGGTATTGCGCTGCTAGCTTTGAACATGTCAGGGCCATGATGAAGGCGGTAAACACTTTGTGCGCAGATGTGCAAGTCACAAGTTGGCACTCGGGTCGGTTGATGGGAGAATGATATCACAGGATTTCGGCAAGGGGGTGCTCCCGCTCACTGGGTTGAGCACCGAACGAAAAGGGTCTAGTGAGGGGCTGAAAGCGTACCTGCAAAATCACCACGGGCAACATGCTGATCTCCGCCACCGGCAACACAAAAAACATCCTTCTAAGCCTGATTTCAGGGAATAGTTGCTGCCAAGAATGCGAGAAGAAAGCCTCAGATCCTGGGCATCTCGCCTGCAAAGCTAGCTGGAAGCCATTCAAGAATCCAGTAGGTTTGCCCTACAGCCCCAGCAGTCTGCAGAACGAAAGGGGCTCTGGAAGCATGGAAACTGCGGCCTCACCGTGCAGACTGCACTACAACTGCCCCTTTGCGGCGATGGCCTGCCCAGATTTGGCCCTGAACTTCAAGAGGAAATGACTGTAGTTGATGTGTCAGCTGGGAAGTTAGCGTGCATCAAAGGCAGCCATGTGTGTGGTCCCCTGCAGGCCAGCAGGAGGCTGTGGAGCTGATCGCGGCTCGTCTTGGGCCAGGTGGCAAGGCAACACAAAAGTTATAAATCTTGTTTCCACAGTGCTGCAGCTTCTGATGTTGAAGCAGAGTCTTTGGTGGAAATTGCTGGGTGCTTGCCAAACTTAAGATGTCAAGTAGGTATTGACTTGCTATCAAGATCTACTCCCCTCCCGCCGAAAAGACCAAACTGCGTTCACCTTGATGACAAATGTATCGCAGTCATGGTACTACAATGCGCCTACCTCGGCCGCACGGATTTGAAAAAAGGGGTGGGGCGGCCTCATTCCTAGGGGAGGGATACCTGGGTGATGCATTGGGCTGGTCTTACCAGTATGTGTAATTAGCCACATGAGTTTGCATGTTCCAGCATGGCGTGGACGTGTCAGGGGCACCTCTACCTGAAGAGCCAAGCTTTGAAGGGAAATCGACCAAACGGTTGTGCCGAAACCTCGGCCTGGAGACGTCCATCCAGCCTGAAGTGGGGGAAAGGACACTGAAAATCGGATCGCATCCGCTGCTGTAAGGTCATCATGGACGTGGAGCTGGTAGCCTTGGACCCCTGCAGAGGACCCGGTACACCAGGCAGGATGCAAGAGCCACCCGAGCAGCGCAAGAGTCGTTGGCGATAGTGTCTTTGCGACCTATCACAGGCTAAGTCTTCGGAGGGCCACTCAAAGTTAGAAGCCCTCACGCCTCACACCATGCCAAAAAGCAGTAGCCAACATACATGAACGGAGAGGGAGATGCTTGGTTCAGAGTTTTTGCGCAAGGGCGAAACAACCCGAGAGCCAAATACCTTTCCACACCAGCTGGCTTTTTGAGCAGACGCACCACAAACTTTTCAGAAAACTTCACGTTGTGCCATGCTACAAGAGTCCCACAGCGGCGGCAGCGCTTGCACTCATGAGCTCAGACATCACCGAAACTGGCCCCATGGCTGCAGAAGTCAGGCTTGAGGCTTTAGGTGATGGCATTCTGCATTCTCAAAGTGAGCTGTGCGACCAAGGCTGAGGACTGGCCATGTATGGCCTCAGCGGGCGCAGTCTTTGGCTTGAGGGCCGTGCGCTCACAGTGTCCATTGTCGGTCCCTTCCTGGCTGGCGCAGCTGGAGTTGGCTTGCTGTGGCAGTTCGTGTGCCTGGGCAAGCAATCCAAACTTCTGCGCCACGTTTGCAAGTCCTCTCGCGCAAGAGTTGATTGGGAGGTGTTTGGCCAAGCGCTTGAACCAGATCGTGCGCATTCTGCCCCGGGAGCGTTCCTTGACCACAACGCAGAGGGATGCGGGAAAGGAGTCCACGGGTGCGCGAGCGTACGAGACGCAGACCGCTGTCAACGAGTACCTGCACTTCCATTATGGACCGCAATCAGTTCAGCTGGAGATGGCAATGCAGGGAGCGTTGCGAGCTACTTGGGGCTTTCAGCGAGTTCTGGACGTCTGCGTGACCTGCGCGAAGGGATGGGAGCACGCCTTGGATGTGGGGTGTGCTGTCGGTGGAAACACCTTTTCCCTTAGCAGCCGATTCGAGCATGTGGTTGGTGTGGATACATCCCATGCTTTCATCCAGACGGCCTGCTCTTTGCAACGGTCAGGATCTCTACCTTACTTGGTGCCAGGCCGCGGCGCACCTTTGTTGAATCAAAGCGTAGGAGTTTGCTGGTAGGCAGACCTCAACGATCATGCTCCTACTGCGGCATAGTACTTGGAAGCAAATCCATGCCAATTTGCAGCTTGCAACCTTTGACGCAAGGAATGCTGGGCATCCATCCCCCTCGACGCGCGCCCAGAGCGTTGCAGCTTTGCGCGAGTGGACGTCATGGACTTCATGCGCTCAGGACCGGTCCAATATGTTGAATGTACGAGACATGCACGCAGCCGGGCACCGCAGACAAACAGAATTGCAGGCGCACGCTTCGACCTGATCTTAGCCTGCAATGTCTTGTGTCGCCTTCGGATGCCACGGGCTTGGCTGACCTCACTGAAAGAAGCCCTAACCTCGGACGGCATTGTGGTCTTGGCCACGCCGTACGCTTGGCTAGAGGCGTGGACACCGCCAGCTGCTCCGGGACTGCAGAGTCGCACCTTTCTATGTTCGTGAGAAATCATCAATGGTTGTTTTCATGCTGCTGTTGCGAGTCTGCTTTTTGGTGTAGCCACCTTCTGAAAAGAGGAATGGATGGGAGGAAGCAGCGAGGAAAGCTCCGCAACTTTGACGGCTTACATGCAGCAGACACAGCCTCAGACTAAATCATTTGCCGGTCATGCGGCTCCGAATGTGTTCAAGAGATACTACTTCTCAAGGTTTTCTTTCTTGTTTTGGCGCGATGCAGCTATCGGCCAGAAATTGAGGGTGCCCAACAGGTCTGCATTGCATGCTTTAGGCTGGGCTTTCGGGAGCTGCACAGAGAGGAGATCGCTTTTGTATTGGTGTCTCGGCTCTTGACTTTTTCATAAACTTTCATACATAGAAGTGTGTGGGCTTCTACAGCCAAGGCCCAGAATGAGCGAATACATGAACTCTTCATTTCTGAGCTGACAGCCTGGGCGCTCAAAGTGCTTTGAGCAATGAGGGAGCTCCATGAAGGTCTCGTTCCGTGCCAGATGTCGCAACAGAGCGGTCTACGCCTCAGCACCGAGAACCGGGCGAAGCCCGTCCGTTTCGTGGCGGATTCATAGATGTGACGCCAGCACTTGGCTTGGACTTCCTGTGCCATTCTTCTCACCTTGCAAACGGTCAGCAAGGAAAAGAGGCTCTCATGTTGACACAGCTCAGAAAAATGGCAGACTGGTGCTGTCAGAGCTGCACATGCATGTGAAGGTTGGCGAGGGTGGCAGAGCCTCATCAACGAACGCGAGACTGGCGACCAGTGGCTCGATGAAGCCGATGGCAGAAGGTGCTCATACCCACAGCATCATGTTCAATGCAGCTGGGTGCCCAGCCACACGGTATAATGCATCTTCGTGCAGGAAGCAGCTCGAAACCTTCGGGACCTTGCGAAAGTCCACCGAGGATGAGCAACAGATGCTTGCAGTCCATAGTGCTCGTGTCGTTGCGCAGACTTGAATTAGGCACCAAGGTCGTCATATGTTGTAGCCGTACAGTTGTTGCTTCTGTGCTGCTTGCTGGAACCTATTGCAAGATTTGGGCTCACATGCCCCAGATGCCATGTGTTTAGTAGCTGATAGTTGAGAGCTCGCTTGAAGGTGCTTGAAATTTTTGAGCATGCTATTCAGACAACCCGCGCATCAACTTGATGTAGCTTCACCGGCGACCGTGCACATGGCATCTCCGGCCTGGCTCGTATGCTTGCTTTTTGCAGGCAGCTAACCTGCTGAACTTCCGAAGTTGCCCATGCCAGCTATGCTACCTGTATCACCCTTCATACTTGGCAAGCTGATCCCGAGTAGGCGCCGCACTCACTTCAGCTGAGTCTCACTCTCACACGGCCATGAGCTTACGTGCATACAACGGCGTTCATGTGGTGCAGCTGTCTGAGTCTCCCTTCGGGTACAACAGCAAGCCTGATTGCTTCAGGAAGCCGAACGAGAAGGGGAGAGCGGAGGAGTGCAACTTTCACTGCGGGGCGCGGGCGGTGCTTTCCAGCCACTTGCTCATGTTTGCCTTGAGCCCGCGTTTCAGATGAGAGCAGAGAGGTGCCTGAGAGTAGCAACACAGACCAAGGTCCGATGCATCTCGATTCGCGCATGCAGACCTGGAAGCCGCTTGGGTTAGATAACGAAAGCAGAAAACATTGTGCTGATGCCTTACTTCGTCAAGTCCCACAGTGGCATTTGCATTGCTATCCCTTGTCCAGTTCTGATTTCGTCCTTGCGCCATTCCCAGTGCAACTTTTCTGTTCATTGCCCGGTTTCATGTTTTCAGTCTCGCTATTACCTTAGTTCTTTCTCTGGTGCTGCTGCCTTGATAACCCAACGCTAAATGCCATGTACTTCAGCTGGAGCCTGATGAGGCCCAGGATCCTCGGCGTCTCATCGTGGAAGTTCACTTCTGTGAGTCGACATTTAACCTGTTGGACCCGAACAATATCCATCCTATCTGGACAGAAGCTCGGCTGCGCTTTCAGCTGCGCTCTTTGCAGCCAGTTGTGACCAGGGGGTCCGCTTCAATGGCGCAGGGAACAGGTCTCAGCAACTGTGGCCTTGAAGTCGCACTTCTAGTCAGCACGAACCGGGCTCACAGATGAAGATCTGCGCTCCAAGGAACCGTCTTGGTTGGAGGAAGGCCGCTCAGTCTGAATTTGCCCAGCCAGATGGCAAGTGACTAAATGCTAGTAGTACTGTGGTGTGCTGCCAGCCTTGCTCAGGTGCCTTCATTTTCCTTGCTGTGTATTTGGGCATCACAGCGGCATGCTGCCTAGACCTGGGCATGGTTGGGGTAGACTCCCACGGTAACGGATTTTGCTTCAGTTCCGGCAAAAAAGGTTCTGATACTTCTGGCGTGGGTCCTTGACTGCCGTACAACTCCGGCAACTTGGTCGCAAGATTTAATGGGGAGCCTTGAGCTCTCTCCTGGTGGATCGAATGGCTGAAGTCAAGTCAGGTCTTGCAGCGCGTGCAGGAAGCCCGGCGAGAAGCTAACGTTGCTCCTTGTTTGCCCTAGATGTTGAATATGAAGCCGTCAGATCCTGCTGAAGACGGACCGAACTTAATTACCTAAGCTGTACATGGCCAGGTGCATCATGGCGAGGGAGGAGTACTGAAAAGAAGCTTCTTGCGCTGCAACTGGATGGACTAGACGCCAGCATCGGCATTGATGGAACTTTGCCGCTGAACTCCAGCTAAGGTCTGGTGGAGCGTTATGGGACCAGGACAGAGCTGGTCTCTGAGATCCTCGACCAGATACAAGAGAAGCAGGAGGAGGAGCAAATCATGAAGATGAACGCGCAGCTTCGCCTGCTTCTAAAGCCTGATGCTGACGAAGCCAGGACACCTGGGAGTTTTTCGAACCAACATGTGTTACACCTCCAAGAACCAGACTACAAAGCTTTGCTGGGACTGCCTATTGTTGCCAGCTGTGAACCAGCCTGCGCCAGGAAACAAGCGTACTTCGTCATGATTATTGGGATTTATGAGTTCTGTGTCCTTATCAGAACACATTAGCGCAAGATCGACTTGGCCTCGAGTTGACACCAAGGATTGCCAAGATCCTCGCTCGGTTTTGCGCCTCTTTTTCGCTGAGATTTTACCTGGCCGGACTAGAGCCCGATCCTAGACTGCAGGAGCAGGATTGTATGAAAGTTGAGGATGGAGATGCGAATGATGGAGGCACATCATCATGTCAGCCAAGGCAGCCTTCCGCTACATCCGGTCTGAGGAGTTACTGAACGAGGGCCAGGCGGTGTCTTCTCTGACAAGAGAAGCGTGCAAAGTGAACCCCTTCTAGAAAAGCACAAAATCTGCAGCTGGCAAGCATTGCACCCACATCAACGCACTCACGTTGTCGGCCGGCTGCGGGGTTTTAAATGGGCCAGATTCAGCCCTGGCCACGTTCTACCGTTCTAGAACCCAAATCCCAGATATTGCGGCTGCTTGAGAAACCATATTGCCAGACTGGACGCCAAGAGATAAGACTTCCTTGTTGGTGGACCCTATTGTTGAAGAACATCTCACAGCAGGGCTACATAGAGGTCTCAATGACAGACCACCTTGCAAGATTCAACGCCCAAGTTGTTGTCATCATACTTACCACCAGTCCAAATACCGCATATGTATGCTGCCGTCTACTGATCTACTGCTGCCAGTCTCGAGTCTCATGATTGTTCTTAGCCAAGGCTGTCCAGGAGTTCCTTCTATTGCCTCAATGGCAGCAAGCACGCATCGCCATAATCGGCTCGAATCGGCTGGCCGCTGGGTTTTTCGCAGATTATGCCATCCCCCGAACCGCGTCTTGACGAGAACATGTTGCACCAGGCTGTCTGTGCGAGCAAGAACGCATAAGGACGCTGTCAAGTGGAAGATTTGAGGGGCGCCAAATTGTAAAGCTGGGTTCCAAGGTTTAAGTGGAAGAAGAACAGGGCGTGGTATACTCACGGTAAATTTTTTCAATGCTATGGTTTAGCATCTGTATAACAGTAAAGACAGGTGCGGTTCAAATCCTGCTGGCTTCTCATCGATGAAGGATTCTCTCATGCGGTGTGGCCATAAGGATAGCCCTCTGGACCATGCCGCAACTAGGATTGTGCCAGAAGGAGATGGGTCTGAGGAATGCTTGCCTTTCATGATCATGAACGCCAGGATTGCCAGTCTTGTTCTTTTTTCTGTTTCGACTACCACTCCCTCACCCTCTTGACAAGTTAGATGCTGCATCTGATAATAAGTCATAATTCATTGGCCATCTCAGACACGGTTTCTCTTGATGGATAAGAAAGATGACAATCCTCCGTCATTTTGCATTGGGAAGCACGGTTTGGCATAACCACTCCGAATCCATTGCCTCGCATTATAGCAAACACAGTTACACCCAGACCTGTCTGCAGGAGAGCTTGTCAGTACTGCAAACCCATGTGTTGTTGTGATGCCCGCTTTACTTCTCAGGCGAGAGTGGCTGCAGCACTGGTCCAGACGGTGGCTTCAGCGGCCACAGCCTGCCTTATCTCCTCACACATGGGCTGGAAGTTGGGTCGGGTGCTGAGTTTGAGAATGATTTGTGATGCCACCGCGCCGTGTGTCTCCCACAAATGATGGTTTCTGCTTGAGCATTGCGCGTTCAACGTGCTCATGTGGAAGTCACTGGAGGCCGAAACGAGTCGCAAACACCCTCGGAGAGGCTCGTGTCAGCAACGCTCCAGCAAAGGAAATAGCTACTAAGCTGAGAAGCATTAGAGATGACAGTGATATGCTTCAGGTGTCATCCGACAGATCCCTTGCAGAGGTGCCTAAGCAGAGAAAGGACATGAGATTCCAATAGCTGCGGTGCGCCTCTGTTTGGGGTAGGATCTTGTCTTCAGGTACTTGCGAGAATTCCTTCTGGCCTTTGGGACCTTTCTCATTCAAGAATTGGTTCATTACGCCACTTTCCTGCACAAATTCATCCTCAAAAGCCATCAGATGTCGTCCAGCTTTACACCCACAATGCCCTGTCGGCATATAACGTGAGTGGGGATGCCATGATGTGGACATGGCACCATGTCTAGGTCATCGTGGGCATTCGCCATGAGCGCTTCCTCCGCCCTGGATGGAACAAAGCGGCTCTAGCTTGTTGCTTGTTTGTCAGAAAGAGACGCTTCGTTCAGATTTGGCCTGCCCCCTTCACCCAGATATATTTTTCACCAATGAGTGTTTGGGCTGAGGGATTTGCATAGTAGGCGTAATGATTACTGCCGTTGACAAGCATCCCCATCCATGCACCCGCTTTTCGTTATTGCCTTCTGCTATCCCACGACCAGCCCAAGAGGACAGCACTGCTCGTTGACACCCCTTGCTTGGATTAAGGAGTGTTTTGGTTCTGCATGCATCTATGGTTCTTTCTGAGCCTGACGCTTGGCTGTATCATGAGAAGCCAATTTGCAGTTGCGAGCCTGGCTAGCTGCGCGTACCCGTTACAAGCGCTCTGAAGCCAGCGATGAGCTCGTGGGCAGCGAGTATCATGGATAGCTTGTATACGATCACGTAGCATAGGCACTCCAATTGCAGCCATAACACCCCGGAGTGAGAAATGACGACAAGTAAAATTCAGGCGCAGAGAGTGTGACATAAGGTTCTTCATCGTGCAGTTTCTGGCAACGTCAAGCACGCTGGATGGTCACCACTGGATTTTTGCTACTTGTCTTTCACCTGTGGCTTTCCGCGGGCTTGGTGGTAGAATGACTGATGAAGATGGCTCTTATTCGTTGCCGCTCTTCTGATGATGCCCAGGTGACCTCCATGATTCTCGCCATAGGCTTGGTGCTGAAGCCCTTGGTGGCAGCTTGCTTTGTCATGACCATCTATGTCCTGGCCAACTATTTGGGTATGGCCCTTGTTTCTGACGAGGCCGTCTGGGCACGTAAACCATAAACCTTTGAGCATGATCAACCTGTAGCTTCTGCTTTCAGAGTGCCTTGGCGTGTGGTGAAGCCTGGCGCTCTTTTCTGTCGCGTGCTTCCTCGAAAACCCTGCTCAGATTCACAACTGTCTGCGGCCCAAGCATGCCGATGAGCTGACAAAGGAGGACTGACCCGTTTGCAGCAGCCACTGGTAGACTTGTTTCCGGAACTTGCACACACGCATTCATACGCGCAAATGGGGCAGGACCTGGAACAGCTTGACCGTAAGTTTCTTGGGCAGCTTCTCACCAGCCAAGGCTGCCATCCCCAGTAGTTCAGCTATCGCCACACATGCTGGCACGTTGTGTTTTGAGGGGACGCTGCGGATGAGACATCCAAGAAGAAGAAGAAAAAGAAGAAGCGGCGCGGCGAGGCAAGGCGATAGTGCGCATGTTGGCCGGGCTGCATTTGGACTGCTGGAGGTCGAGGAGTCCAACAATGTGGATAACGAGGATTCAGATGAAGGCCAGGGCCGCCTCAACCAAGACACTACTAATAGGCAGTGACCTGCTTACGAAGCGCACTTGGCCCCAGCAGTCTTGCACAACACTGAAACCTGGCCTCCTTCGGCAGCCTGACAAACTACTGTTGGCTTGCTGCCGTATTGGGCATGGAGCAAATCAACTTGTATCTGAAGAGTAGAGGGGTACCAGGCGAATTCCTTTTCCAAGGGAACCCCTTGAGCTGGGCACGTAAGCCAACCCTGCTGGTCAGGCGTTGTGCAGCTTGCGATTACCAACAAGGCCTAGTCTTGTCAGTGTCTGGGTTGACATGTGACATGGAACTAGAGCGGTAGCGGGACTACAGGAGACAGAGGCGCACGAGCTGGAGCCTACAATGTTAGACGAAGTAATCGAGGCTGACATGAAGGCCTGCGGTGTGCGCTCTTCATTTCATGCTTTTCACATTTGCGTTCCTCACCGGCTTGGTGGAAGGCTGCAGAAGAGCAGGCAAAAGAGAAGCCTGCTCAAGAGCGGCCCCTTAAGTCCGCAGCGAAGGCAGGGCAAAAGACGGCCTGGTGACCTGGTGGCCTATTGCTGTCATCTGTGTGCCAGGCCGGCAAAAGGACCTCAGTGGCGTCATCTCACGAGCGCAGAATGTCTGCGGTGTCTGCGGTGTCTGCGGCAGAGCGCACAGGGGCGACTTAGCGGCAACACTTAGGCTGTGGTTGCTTCAGACTCTAGGAGAAGAATGCTGAGTCAGGCCGCTGCAAAAGCAGAGCGCGGCAATGCAGGCGTTGAGGATGTCAAGAGCAAAGCAGCGTGCAGGACGCGTGACGCATTCCTGCACACACAGCTGCCAGGATCCCGAGATTGGAGAAGACCTTGAAGAATTCGAGTCTTGGACGCCTCTCCATTCAGAGAAGAGATCCTTGGCACAGAAAACGCGAGACATGCATGTTAGGATGAAGGCCCTAGAAGTTGTTGCCTGCACATGACCCAGGCTTTGAACAAGATACTGAGCCGCGCAAAGCTGCTATAACTGCACGGGTTTCCCGACCCGACGCGTCGCTGCCGCCTGATGCAAGCTCGCGCCCATTGCAAGAGCTGCAGCCAAGTCCGGCGAAGAAAACCAGCGTTGTTCTACCTGGGCCTTTGATCTGAAGGCGCCCTAAGTGGCTGATCAGACCAAGATCAGGGGTCCATCAGCTGGACTCCGCACCGCGACCAGCAACCCAAGCACTCTAAATTGGTTCTCACGTTTGTGCCACTATGAACTGCTAAATAGCTTTGGCAGCAACGAGGCCACTTAACCGCTCTTAATGCAGAGATGACAATGAAAGGCAGGATTTAGAGCGCAGAGCGGCAGATCCTAAGCAACGTCTGCAGATGCGTAGTTTCAGGTAATAGTCCACGGTGTGCAAGCAAACAAGCCGCCCAATTGCCACCAGCGGCGTACGACCTACGACCGTTTATCACCTCGGAAGAGATTTATGTTGAATGACGTTCGTGCGACCTTTCAGAATCATGGTGGTTTCTTCCCAGCGGTCACTGCGGGGCCTTTGCTGCGTGCAGGAATTCTGGCTTGTTACAGTATGGGATGCGCCAAAAGGCGTCAACTTCCCATGCTGCCAAACGTTTTCAAGACGGACTTTGTTCCCCCGCTTAATTCGAATTGCTGACAGCCCCCCAGGCTCTAGCTCCACTCGGGAGATGCACGCGAGTTGCTAAGCAACCGCAAGTGCAGTCACCAGCTCGAGCAGCAAAAGAGAGACGTGCCCAACTGGTCATGCAGACCCAAGCAGTATCATGACCCGCCTGGGACCTGGCAATCTGCCAGACACAGCCCTGCAGAGCCGCGTGCATTGCAACCCATGGCCAAGCAACGTAAGCTTGACACACCCCCTAGGCCTACAGATTCAAGCATATCTTGAGGACTCCAAGGGGGCAGAAGCACATGTCGCGGAGCAGGCTGGGTGGCCTCCTTGTCTCAGCTCGGGATTGAGAGTCTTTGAACCCGAACGGCAGGTGCACAAATTTGCATACAATGCTGAACGCCCTGATCTGAAGTTTTTCGGGCAGCTTGCAAAGTGCTACCTGGTGTTTAGGTGAATGTGCACTGTTTGCATCTTCAAGGCCGCTACAGGCGTGGCTTGAAGTGGATAGAAATGGACAGCATCTCAGACCCCTGTCCAAGTCCACGTGACGTGGCCCCATAAGCAAATGCCAAGCAGTGACCTCCTTAAGGACAAAAAGGACGATCGCAAGCTGCAGCTGGAGCAAGCAACACTGAGGCTGCCTCTCACGCCCAGAGAGCCCTAAAGCATTCACTTTGCCAGTTGATTACCGACAGCCATGAATGAATATTACGGATTACTAATAAAGGACTATGATTATTAACCCCCCCTCCCCCGCCCTCTTCCAAGCAAGTAGAGGATTCTAAGTAGTCCGGGTTGCCCAATCAAATTTCGGCAAACTTGTGTGGGGTGGGGGTTTTGGGCTCTGTCAATTAACTTTCCATTGCCGGGGATCATTCCGATTATCAATCTGGCGCAAAGTTCGCTCTATTCCGTACCCATTATTCTTATTTCAATCCGTTCGGCCAAAAGTTCGCTCTATTACGAACCCATGTACTAATGCGACGCCAACATTAGATTAGCTACAGTATTTGTTGTGATTTCTCATTTTACCTGGTACAGCAATGTCAGGATGAGGCTAGCGAAGGCAATGTCGCTTGCTCACATGCGATTCGGCGAGAATCCGGAGCCAGCGAACGAGTCTGAGAAGGCATAGCCTGGCTCATGGAGACGACATTGACATGTGGGATTGAAGACTTGTGGAAAATTGAAATGTAGGTTGTTGTAGGTTGCTGAGGGACATAGAGGGACGTACTCCATAGGTATTTGTAGGCTTTGGGGTGGTTTAGTGTATTGGCTTTCAGTGTAATTCAGGGTGTAAGGGTGTAGCTTCAGGGGTTGCGGGCAGCTAGATTCTAGATGCTTCGAATGCTGGGTCCCTTCAGAGAGTTTCTTTGCGTCAAACTTGCAAACTCTGAAAACCAAAGCCTTAATTGCTACATCGCTCCCCCCGAGCCTTGATCCCTACCTGCCCCTTCTACCCTGGCCCTTCTCCTGCGCCTCTACTGCCTAAGCCCTTGTCCCAACTCTCTACACCCCAGCCCCTTGATCAAGGCGCCAACAAAAGCATCCTAGTTCACGAGTTACTTACTTCTATGATTCTTTCAGCCATTAAAATGCAATCAAACATATGCATTTTACTGCGGTTCTTATTCTCATACATATACACAATCGAGACTGCATATTGCAAATCTGCTTTTAGTACTTCACAAAAGTTCTTCATGAAAAACGTTTGCCGAGACCTACCGTAATAGGCCTTAACAGAGAGACCCCCCCAAAAAAGTATGGACTTTCAAGGTGAAGCGGGGACCCCATTTACTCCCTACATCCCAAAATCCCGAAACCAAACCCTAAACCCCTAAAACCCCCCAAGTCCTTAGATGCAGGCGGCACTGAAAGAGGCTCGTCAGCTTCTGGCAGAAGTTCTGAAAGTCAGCGAGGCTTGGGGTTAGGTGGGTTGTAATTTCAATTTTTTTTGGGGGTGTATTTAGGGGATTCTATAGGGTTATATAGAGTTTAGGCTTTACGGTCTAAATTTTTCAAGGGTTTTTATAGTGGGGAGTATGTAGGGGAGTATTGAGTTTGGGGTTTAGAGTCTAGATTCCTTAAAGGGGGTTATATAGGGGATTATGTAGGTTAGTGTCTGAAGTGTCTGAACTCCTTAAAGGGGCATTATATAGGGAAGTATTATTTTGGGCTAGCTATTAAGGGGGATACTAGGAGTTTAGGGGAGTTTAGGCTATAGTTCAGGCGGGTTTAAGAGGGCGGCCCAAAAATAGACCCCCAAATACTCTCAGCCTTATGACCTCATGATTGCGACCTCCCGTCGGGCCTCAGGGGAGTAGGTACGGGTTTACAGTGTACAGGTTTGGGTTTAAAGTGTGTGGGGTTCTCTAGGGGTTAGTTTTAGGACGTCTGCTTGGCCGGGTTCAAGAGGAGTTTATCATTTGGGGTTAAGCTTCGTTCTGTTTCTCTCTACTCCCAGAAATCACTGGGGTCCGTTTCCATGGTGCGCTTGTCTGCTTTGGAAGCTGCCTAGTGACGAGTTCTATAAGGAGATTTCGGACGCATATAAGGAAGATTACAGGGCGATTGTTTGTACAGGGTTTCCTGCAGTTTGTAGGTTGACGCCTCTTCATTACACAGGGGCTATTTTGGCCTGCCGTATTGCGACAGGAGCTCAAAAATGATGGCGTCAAGTACGAGTGCATGAAGATGAACCTGCAGGCCTGCAAATTGAACGGTGCTCCACAACCTATGCAGCGCACTGGCAATGTCTTTTTCTGTGTCGGGCAACCCTTGTGCACAGCCACCTCACAGCTGTTTTAGAAGCAGCGTGGGCCTGCGCGGCAAAGGCGGAAACGCACCACAAGAATCCCAACACACGTTGCGAGCAGAGAGCGGGCAAACCGTAACAAGGTTTGGCCAGAAGGATGGTGATGGAATTTGATGGGACAGATGCACAGGGCTACATGATTGCTGCTGCAGGTTTTGTGCGTGTGCCTTGTGCCTTGCTTCTGGATGGCCTTCAAGATGTGCTTAATGGCAGGAGTTGCTCGTGCTTCACCTATGATAGATGATGTGAATCTCTGATCTTTTGTTGCAAAGCCAGCAGCAAAACCAACATCACAACCAGGAGACAAACGACCAAGATAACAGCTGTTTCAGCAAAAGGCGAAACCACAATTCTTAAAGTAACTAGAAGACGATGCACCAGAAAGCGCGAAGGGCTGTTGTCCCGAGGGTGGTTAGTAGTATTCCGTGTGTCCTGCTGAAAGAGTGGCTGAAAGCTACATGGTACGTGCAGTGTCCTTCGTTCTTTTTTCACGTGCTCCTGTGCGTTGGAGAAGTCTACAGCTGATTCTCATTTGCAAGGTTGACCTTCAATTTCATCATGTTGCTAGTGCCACCTGCAGACAGAGTTGGGGCATGAGAGAGCAAGAAGAAGGAGAACAAGAGAGCACGCCAGGTCTGCATCCAAGATGAGGATGTACCTGAAGCCAGAAAAGTACTCTCCCAGTTGCAGGAGGGGATCCCTTTAGCTCCTTTGCATCTGCTCACCTTTGCACGAATTCCTATTGAAGCTAGAGGAAGAGAGGCCCGATGACGAGGACCTCAAGAGTGACAACGCCAGGATGGGCCGAACCTGCAGCGAGCCATCAGGCAGTGTTCACATTGATGGAGGGCCCCACTAATGGGCTTCAGGGAGTTTGCAGAGACTCTGCTTCGCACATGCGGTCATGACAACAAACAGAGAGCACCAGCAGTACCAGCAAAGGAGGCTAAAGCTAGCCAGACCTGCACAGGCTCGCAGTTTGTGATTTGTGTGCATCACTGCAGGCAATTTGTGGCCCAGGGTAGTTTCGTTTGCTGCCTGCAGACCCAGTAGTCATTGGAGCAGCGATGGCAGAGATTCAGAAGGACGGTTGTCAGCAGAACTCCACCAGATGAAGAACGGTTGTGAGACTTTGGTTGTGAGACTCCTGGAAAGGAAGCATTGACTTGTGTATGAGAAGCTTGCTCCAGCAGAATGTGAAGATGGCATGCGTCTCGTCCTCTCTGGACAGGTCTTGACAGGCCAGTCCACTTGCGTCGACGACACAGCAGATATGGGCAGCTAGTCTTAATTTGAAGCCGGGCAGGTGAAGCCCTCAGGCAGGACAGAGTTCAAACGAAAGCCAGGCTATGACGGCTTCCAAAGCTCCGGAGATGAACTTACACCGCAAGCTGGGCTCGTAGCCTCGAAAGACTCCGTGGGGTCTCTACTGCACAGCGAAGGCTGGATGTTGTGCAGATGACGCGCAAGATTCACGGTCTGCAGACCTACCACCTGAGTAGCTTGCGAGGGACCTGCAAACCGTGTGCTTGGTTCTGGAAACCTCAAGGGTGCCGCTGCTTGGTCTCAATTTCAGGTTAGAGTTTGTTATCCTTGCAGTTGGGCTAGGTTGCGCCTGCACTTTAGTTTGCGCACGGACTCTGCCCAGGCAATGGCAAGGACTGCCTTCACTGTCACCTTTGCCCATGCTGCTTGACCGCCAGTGAGGTTTCCTAGCACACAGATGGTACATTGACGTGACGGTTCATTTGCAGCCGTACGCGCAAGCGTGTCTTGGCTTCTTTGCCAGCTCAGGCAGCGAGATAAAGGAGCGCAAGAAGAAGCAGTTTGCAAGGCGCGGCGGCTTATTAACGTATCTGTCTTGTCATGCTTCAGTCTTTTGCACAGGCTGCAGGAGGAAGGCAGCTTGAAATCTACAGAGAGCCTTGGCTAACAATTTCACGACATGGCAGACATGCATGAGTTCTAGAATCAGTGCTGGACGTAACTTGGTCCTCCTTGGCCAATGACTTTGACAAGCATTGGCTGGCTGCGACTGCGGACCTAGCTCAGGCCAAAGGCCCCTCACATTTCACCCACACTCACAGAGCAAAGCAGAAGGTCAATGTAACCCCAATCAGCAATCACGAGGCTCAATCCCCTGCAGGGCCAACAACTATCGGTTGAATGAGAATCAAGTGTGTGGCATGGGTAGCCTCATCGATTTCTTTGCTTTAGGTGCTTCCCTTGTGCGGGAAGCGCCAGGCGGATGGCATTCAAAATAGGTCAAGTGCGGCGTCAACAACACCATCCCCATCTCGCGTGAGTCCGCTCGCTTGGTTGGCACCGCCTGGACTGACGCCCACAAGCGCAACCCTGAGCTAGAAAAGCTACAAGCGATTTCCTGAGACTGAACGCATCAAGCTGGGGGAAGGACCAGTGGTCTCAGGTGATGACGACAAGAGCGGTGCCTTCCCATTCCTGGGGCCGCCAGAGTTTGAAGATGAGCCACGTAAAGTTTCCAGAGGCTCTGAGCTCCATGGTACAGGCGCGTCGGTCACATATCTCAAGTGCAGTAAGGGGCAGAGTGTGCTGCAGGCGAATGCAAACCTTGCGCCTGGTTCTGGCATCCCAAAAGCTGCTCAAACGGCTCCTTGGCAGGTTGTTTATGGAGGCTTCTCAAAAATAGCACCGTACTGCTTCAGCTTCTTAGGGACCATATAGTGCTTGAGGATATCTGGAGGGTGGTTGACATGGACTTTTGGTCTAAGCCATGCTTTCGTTTGTTTTGGATGTGGGGAAAACGGGGCCGCCATCACAAATCACGCACACTTTCTTTTTGGGCTTGAAGTTTCTGCGCCCTGCTTGGTGCAGCACGTGCCAGTGCTAGATGCCGGCGAGTGGGCATGTGTCAAACTTCGGCCCCCGAAGCAGAACTTGGCTATATTTCGCCCATGTGTCTCACCCCCAACAACGGAACACTTCTGCAGGACAGCTTACATGGAAAATTGTGGGAAACCTACGGAGCATCCGCATCCCCGAAGCCTCATGAGCCGCCTCAGGTTGGGACTGCAAGTTCTGCCACATCTGCCCCCAAGGCACCCTGGCTGGACATTTGCGAAAGTCCCTCAGCCTTCCTGTCATGATAGCAACTACCAGCAGCCCGTGCAAGTACCCAAGGTGAGCTGAAGGCACGCCGCAAGCTCAAGGTACTCAAGCTCCGTCAGGATGAGATCCAGAAAAATCGAATCATCTTGGGAACTCACCCATACAGCGCCTTCTTGGCAGGAGTCCGCACAGGAGATGGCAGAGCAGATGGAACAGATGCCGCAGGAGCTGCAGAGAAAGCTACCAGCTTTTGAGGCTTCACGGCAGTTGTTTAGACACTGCCTAGGATCCACAGCTACCTGGAGCAGTGAGCCTCAGCCTCTGATGATCAGATCAACGACTGACCTCAAAGTGGTGGATGTCATGTTGCTACAGATGCCAGATGCCGTGTCAACTAGGTGAGATGGACGTCATGCACTTGGAGAACTTGTGCGACATGCAGGGGGCAACTGCAAAGTTGGAAGTTTCTCATTTGCACTAACTTGGGTGCTGTGGATTCCTGGTCAGAAGCACTTGACGAAGCTGGTCTGCTCTGAAAGCCCAGGCTGACTTGCATGCGAACGATGGCTCTCCTGTGAAGGTGCTGCTTTTGTCTGCCTTCAGCCAGCGGACGCGCAAACGGGCTTGTGCATTGGTCCAGGTGATGTTTGCGGAATCCTGGCCATCTCTAGGTTCCAGACAGCATGGGAGTGGTCAGTGCAGGCGCGTGCGGTGCGCGTACGCTTGCAAAGCGGAAATTAAGGCTCTTATGATTTGGGGAACATGTGCTCAAAGCTCTAGCTTGGTGTGAGGCCATGTGCCTGGTTCTGGAAGAAGGGCTGCCAAAATGGACGCGACTGCCTTCACTGCCACCTCTGCCCAGAGGGTGAACTGCGACGCAAGAAGAAGGCGCACGTTTCACAAAGCGGGTTTTTGTCAACAGGTCCTCATGGTGTTGCTTGTAGGAGGCAGCAAAGCTTCGCTCCGCGCCCAGGGATGTCAGGCGCGCGCCATTTGCTTGCCGCAAGCTTGCCGCTGTACCTTCTGACCAGGCAGATTGCTGATGCCTTGACGTTGCAGCAGCGCATCATTCAACAACAGCAGCCCGGCCAAATCGACTTCCTGGAGCCTTGGTATGGCTATGCAGTTCTTGCTTGCTAAGACAGACTTGGCTCTTCTGGCTGGTTGTAGTAGGCCTGCCCTTGTAGGGCCCCCTATGTCTTCGCATGCGTTGCAGCTTCTTGAGTGGTTTGAAGACGGGGGACGGGCGGGAAGTGTGTATTTGCAATTTTTGCTTTCATTCCAGCTTGATGAAGTTAGGGACGGGAAGCGGCACTCCCGAATTTCCACTCTTCCAACTCTTCCTAGTCACTGGACGTGGGCGCGGCCAGCGGCTGTCAGGTGCTTCGCGTAGCTTCAACGTTGATTACCGACCATGATTGTCGACCAGCTTATAATTTAGCTGGCATTGTGACTCTCCCCTGCGGTGTTTACTGCCTTGTTTTACCACCCTTCTAAGAAGCTTCCATTGTTCCCAGCCCAGCTGCACCACGTGCATGGACAGACCCATGCTAAAATCATACTGCCTCAAAACACGTAGTTCACCATCTGCAACCCAAGGTCTTTGCATTCGAAATTTATGATCCTGAATCGGGAATAATCCCAGCGACTTTGTAGCCAGACTTTTGCTGTAGCGTAGCTGCGGTTAGCAACCGCGTTCCTTGCAAGCCTTTCGTCTTGTGGCTGGTTCCATGGACAGTCAACACAAGTGGCACACTGTACAAGTTCCTGGTTCTGCCCGAAGTTGTTCCCGAGCCGATAGTCTGGCGCCTTCTCCTTATTTCTGCGGGTGACAAATCAGCTGGGCTCATGTTGAAGGCAGCATCGTCTGGTGGACTTGCAGCTGCAACTTCAGTTCCAGCAGCAGCTGATGGCCATGAGCTTACAGATCAGCGCAATTCTCAAACTTCATCAAGCTTGGAACTCTTCAGGCGACAGCTTCCATGTCATCGACGCTCGGAACAAAACCATCTACCTGTCTCCACGTACTAGCAGATGACAGGGGTTGCGCCGACGGGCGTTCCAAGGGTGCTTGAATCATGTAGCCGGGCTGCTCAAGTGATTCTTTTTGCGCCAGTGCTTGTAATGCCTGGTGAGCATGGACAACTTTTTGTCTTGATGCATCAGGTTCCTGGTTATCCAACAGGCATCTGAACGCTTCAAATGTGTCTGGAGGCTCCATAGATCTGCCTGTTTAACGCTTGGCCATGACCGGAGGGAGCTCTGCTTGCAGCCCACTTTGATCTGAAAGGCCATCAAGCCTTTTGGCCCCAACAGATCCAATCTGCGTGGTCGATTCTATGAAGGTGTGGACCATGATGTAATTCTGAAGTGTGTTTCTAAGGTTTGGGCCAGACTCTTCTTATGCCAGCTTCGGCCAATGAGAGTTGCCTGGTTGCACTGTTGCGTCTGCATAGCTCGGACATGCTGCTGCGTGATGTGAGTCAAGTACATCTGACCAAGCTAAGCCGAGGAAATCGCAACACCTGGACACCAGTGTCCATCTTCCCTCGGGAGCATATGAGGGGGATGCAGCCAGCATAGGTATCCTTCCGGACTTTACTGCTAGAGCCAAATGGACTCCAGAGTGCATTCACTACAATCACTAGAACGTGGAATGTGGCTGCATCCCCTTGGCTCCATGTGAGCCCTGCCTGGCTAGCATGTACCGCCGTGTTCTCAGAGCCACGCACATTGTAATTACTACTCTTGTTGTTACTATACTTATTGTTATTGCAGATATTGTTGTTGTTAGAAATACAATACCTAGTGAAGGTCATTTTCTTCGCTGGTGATAGAGCTGCTCAGGCACATGGCTGGCTTCAACGATTTAACAGTGGGTCAAAGTGCACACTTTATGCAGCACAAGCTGCTTCCAGTGGCTTGATTGCAATCTGCCATGCGCATGTAAGATATGTTTGAACCACGGCGGTTTCGTGCAAGCCAAATGCTGCTAGGAGGAATACGGACCTGCTTTCCCAAACATCCGCTTGTGCTGTCTTGTGTCAGTCAGGCACCGAACCAGAGTGTCCGGGCTGAGCGGTCGCTGGAATCTTGGCTGCGACTTCAGCCTAATGAATCTGAAAGCAGGGATTTGTGAGTGCATGGAATCGGAGACTTGGCTGTGAGGCAGAAAATTCCAGTGGCTGACGCTTACAAGTTCCCTTCTCTGTGGTGGGGGAGGGCTGGTCAAATGTCCAGTGAAATCGTGCACGAAGATAGCTGCAAAGGCGAGCTAGCTGAAGAAGAGACCAGCCAATCCCATGCACATGGCTATTGATGCCCAAGCTTTGGAGAGATGCTGGTGCAGGAGCAACTTAGCAGACAGAAGCATATCGTCCAAGTTTTGGATGGTTTGCACGCACCAGCTAGAATTCGGCTTTAGTGTTAGGTTCCAGAAGCAGAAATTGCGTGAACACCCCGAGATCCGAATGATAGAGGCAGACGACAGGTATGTTTTGCAAGTGAGCGGCAAGAGTGTGTGCGCACGCGTAGACTCCGTGGAAATTCCGCTTGGCCGGAAAATCGATCTGATGCGAACAGCAGAGTCAGCAGAGTCGGTCACCGCCAGAAGAGGGTAGGTCATACTCGAACCTCCCTCCACTGCACTAGTGGCACGACAGTTTGGGCACATACAGGTATGGCAGCAGTGGTCAAGCGCGGATGTTTGGGCCTGCGCATAAGAGCCGCTCCTGCCATGCGTGTGTGATGTCTGCAGGAAGGGATTCCAAAAATCTCTGAGTAATGTCTTGTCTTCACACACCAAATTCCGCAGTCCAGTCTGGGCACCGCCTTGGTTGGACCCGGCCTGGCAACCAATGTCAGGTCCTTTGTGATGTACATGAAGCATGAATTCAGGCATGTGTGCCTTGCGGAGAGCTCGGATCCTTTTTCAGCTGCAACTGCAAGTGGAAAGATCTCCCAACTCATTCCCTAAACAGTGGCCGCGATCATGACCAGCCTGAGTGCAGCTTCAGGTCAACTACCATCATCAATATCATCATCATCATCATCAGCATCATCATCAACAAGGTCATCATCATCTCCACCATCATTACCATTCCTCGGGATAGCGCCCCTCACGCTTGCCGCAGTGGATCATCGGTCAGAAGCATGATGGAGAGAAGAAACCGAGTGCAGCGCCAGCTACACCACATCCCAACACGCAGCAAAACCACGACAGAGATCAAGGAACTGAGCTCTTGCGAGGATGCAAGGGCTTGTTCTGTGTTTCGAACGCAGCAGTGGAACTGTCAATGCGGACGTGAGTACACTGCCTGTGTTTGTAGATGAAGTATGAATCAACAGTATGAATGCAATGCTGCTCTGGACGTGTCCTGCTAGCGGGGAAGGCTTGTGTGTGAGCTTGAAGCCTGATACAAGTCCAGGCATGCAGCCAGGATTGCATTATCATCTTGCCTGAGTTGGCTGCAATTATGCATGGCTGGGCTGAGAGGCTTCAGCTCATTTGAGCCGCTGACTTTGCCAAAGTCGCAGGTACCAGAGCATGCAGCATCAAAACGGAGATATCAGCAGACCATATGGTGGAAACAGAATTGCGAGCTATCAAAAAAGGGGCTGGAGGGATGGGCTTCAGTTTCATTCCAGCTGCCTCGTTACTGTGAGGGACGTTTTGCAGTTGTGCTGCAGTGGCATTGGTATTGCGGAAGGATCAACCGACTTGAAAATGAGCTCTCTCTCAAGAAGGGCGCTGGGACCGTGGAGGCCTGTTGGGCATCAACAGGCAAAAATCACATACAGGGGCTTTTTAACAATTGCGGGCCCCTTTTATTCCCATGGAAAGGATTAGTAGTTTGGATATGAGGCGGACCCCCTTTATTGGACATTTTTTTTTCCGAAGATGTCCTGGGCAGGATACCCAGTGCAACTGAAACCAACTGATAACTGATGAGCATTGTCAGCCATAGTTGCAGCTAAAGATGCGTCACATGCACATGCGCAGGTCCCAGAATACCTGTACATGTTCTGCATCGTTTCTCACCTTGCCCAATTGCAAGCCAGGAGCTGCAGAAGGATTTGCAGCAAGCTGTTACGGCAGGTGCCCTTCTAGTTAGGTTTGGCATCAGAAGCAGTATACGAAAACTATACCAAGTGTTTTTGGCCTGGGAGGCGACAAGCCGAAGGTCGGTGAGATCCTTGAAGCATTGCTAGGGATGTTCAAGGACCGTTTAATTCCATCCTGAGATGTCTGACCATTTCGTACTTACCTGGTGAGCCAGCAAGTTGTGTTTTGCAGGAGAGCAAGGTGACCTATGACGCAGTGAAGACCTGCAAGGTCGGAAAGGATGCTTCGCACTCAGCTTGGCAGAGCGGCTGGGAGTATCTGTGGTCTAAGACCGTGCGACTTGCGGCGCTGGCATCTTGCAGGTAGGCAATGCAATGAAAATGGGAGACCCTGACATTGCTGCCCTTGGTCGGAAGGCTGTAGGGAGTGCCGCGTAAAGGAGGGCAACCATGCGCGCCTTGCTCAATTTCAGGCAGTTGGCGAGATCCAGGCCGACCAACATCATGTGCAAAGCTGCGCACAATCATTTGTCTTTCAGGCAAGGTATGCAACTCCCTGCTCCTGCGTGACCTGCGCCAGGCTCTTGCACAGAGGGCGGCATTGGGGATCTGAGCTGCGAGCTGAGCTGCTGACTGGACCCAGGTCATGTGCAGAATTCATGCGCGCAACCTGTAGGAAGTGACAGCATGGCTGCGTGTCAGGTTTTGAGTATAAGGCGATGTTTTCCTCAAACACAGAATGCAGTCACTCCAGTGTGAAGCAGAGTTTCACCCCTTGCACACTCTTAGCAGCGCGAGCAAGCCAACTAACCAAGAGTTGCTGCGAAGTGAGCGTGGGAGGGGCGCAGTAGATCATCATTTTGGCTGTTGGACAGCACGCCGCACCGTTACGGATCTGCCAGTGGGCAGACATCGAAAACCGGTGGCCGCATGCTTCAACTAAGTTGGCCGGGCCCGAGATGGCTGTTGTCGATGCTACTTATTTGGACAGTTTATTGTTTCTTTCCTTTCTGGAGGGAGCCAGCTCCATGCCAGGCCTCTTGGTTGAGCATCAAAAAACCTCTCCCTCTGCGAGGCTTCACCGCTGAAGCGCAAGCAGCAAAAAAAGAATTCAACGGACCATTCTACGAGCCAGCTTGCGAACCCTACACTCCTCTTGAAGCAGACATCTCATGAGCAAACAAAGGCCCGCAGCTGGCTGGCTCACCGCGCCATGGCTTCGCAGATCACCTCACGCTATGCCAGGGCGACAGGCAGGAACATTGAACCTCTCTGATAGTGTGACTTGACCATGACATTTGCCACTGCAGAATAGTGCCTGGAGTCCTCGATCGAGGCACTGCTGCGGCTGGTGGTGCTTCTCGAGATTCTGCGCGGTCTGGTGCCAGCCGGTACACACCTAAGGCCCAGCTGTGGAAATCTGTAAGATTTGCGATGGCTGCAAGAGAGCAAGTTGCGGCTGTCTAGCGCAGGCCAAGACCAATCCACAAGGCCAGCGTGCGCGCAAGGATGCCTCGACACAGACGCAGCTGTCGTTCCCGCGTCTTCGCAGCACCAGAGAACTTCAGGGTGGCAGTGCGGACCTTGTACTGCATACGTTTCAGGCGACTTCTACACGACTCAGATAGCATTTGCTAGGCTGGCATCTTCCTGCATTGAAGTGAAGCAGACGAAGCCAAAGGAGCTTTCTATGGTGCAAGACTCGGAAGGCTCAGACTTGCAAAATGCAAAGGATGGATTTAAGACAACCACCTCCGTGGTGGATTCTGCAGGCCCACCGGACACGCCGAGGGCGAGTCGCATCACCAAAGAGTCCTGGGGTCTTGCCTCGTTGGATCCGAGTACATGGCCAGTGTTCAAGGACGCCATGTGATCTGAAAGAGTGTTACATGCGAGCCCTAAGTTGCCTGTTTAGGGCCTTTCTGCGGCTCCCTGTGATGAGGATCCTCATAGCCAGAGTTTCTCAAAGTACAGCCATCCTCTATACAATCCTTGGAAAGCGCCTTAAGAATCACAGGAGAATCCGTATTTCGCGTGTCCGCAAGTTCCCAGAGCCCATCCTTGGAATCATGAACGTCTCAGCCGAGTGTTCGGTGTGAAGTGATGTCCACTGCACCTTCCAGGATGGCTTTGGCTCTTGCAACAGCTTGACCATCCCACCGGTGCCGGAAGGTGCCCCTTATTTCTGTTATATAGGGTAATAATGGAGATTAAAATGGACAAGTAAGTGGAAAGTGATATTGAAGCTAGTTTGTAGTGCTATATAGGGATAGATGCTGATTATATGGGCCAGTTAAGCTCTCACATGCTGCTTTCGCGCCACTAATGTCCTGGAAGCAGCATTGAGTATTACTTAAAGCTGTATGAGAGCGCTCACTTGTTTGACCAAGATCCCTGTGAAGCCCCAGATGCTCTTTTTCAAGCCCTCTACCTGAGGCATTGTAAGAAGATGTCAGAAACCTAAGAAGCCTATGAGGCGACCACGAAGAAAGTCCTCCTGACGACGCTTTGGCCACAGCCCGCGAAGAGAATGAGTCCTTGCGACAGCTCTGCCTCCAGACTGGACAAGGTCGAAACACACTTGAGGTAGGACAGGACCAGGGCATAACCGATTGTCCCTGGTCCTTGCTCACTGTTCTAGACGGCACTCTCGTGTTGTCTGTTTTTTTCGAAGTTCGGCTTTTTCGGGCAGTCAGGTAGCACACGGGGATGTACAAACTTACTGCATGCAGGGATCTTGCAACTGGGATTTGATGTGAGGTTTTTAGGCATGGAGACCCCTAAGAGAAGGTCCAACGTAGGGGTCACCGAAATATTTGTGGCTTTCGCTTTTTGGGTCAACAACCTAGGCATGAAGAGAGGCACACATAATGTCGCACCCTCTTTTGTAGAGGCGCCCTCTTTAATGTGTTTTCGCCGAAGCTTATTGAGGATGGGGCCCTCCGTAGCATGGGAGCCTTATTGAGGACGTCTAATTTCTGTTTTTCAGTGGGCCCTACTGTAAAGGGGGGGGCCCCAAGATTAAAGAGGGTCCAACAGTACCGGCTACGCGCAATTTCCGGTGAGCAAGAATGTGGAGCAAACTCCTTTTACCAACGCAGCCCTAGGGTGTAGGTGAATGCGCGACACCCGCAGCAGACATGGTTGATCAAATTCAACAATCTTGAAGCCACAGCCGCAGTTTTTCTGCGGGCAAGTCTCCATCTTTGCCCGCAGTGCAAGGCTATGACTTAGTCAGCTTAGCACAAGCCGCGGACTTCCCTGAGGCCGCGTCCTTCCGAACAGCTTCCCGCATAGCATGTAAGATAAATCTGTATGAATGTTGTTGTATGGTGCTTCTGTTGCTAGTACCAACATGTATTCACACACACATGTATCTACGTCTGGACAGGCGACGTCAGTTTGCTGTGCAATCTATCTGTTGGAGGGCGTCCATGGAAGAGTTCATCTCAAAGTACCCTTGCAGTGCTGGCTGGACTTTGGCACTGCCACAAACGCATGCATTTTGCATGCTAGGCGACGCCGAGCCACGACGTACTGATTGCCAAGGCAAGGCAGAGCCTCCTTGCTGTCAGTCAGCACATGCTTCATGTCCCTTGGCTGTCAAGAAAGGAGGGAACGCGAGGACTTGCAAAGTTGTGTAAAGGCCCGTTATTGTTGACGCTGGGAACCAGAGGCTAGAGGTGGAGCTTCTTCTGGTGCAGGTCACAGTCATGGTGGTATAGTACGCGCACCAGTGCATTGGCTGAGGCTGCTGCAACATCAGATGCCAAGCCTTCGGTGGAGAAAACCGCCTCACCGTCTTGTGAAGGCGCCTTCTTGTGAAACTTAAACCTAGGGACTAAAGCCAGAGATAAGGCCCTGACTGAGACTGGACGGAGTGTGAGGAGGCATTTGGAGGAAATCTATCAACATGCCTAGGTGATGCCGTCGCCAAGCCAGCAGTGAACTACAACTCTTCAAGCTGGAGGTGTTCCAAGCTGAGGCTGCAGCTGGAGGGCTTTCAACTGGACTGGGCAGGTGGAGACCCCTGTCTGCGACATCCTCACCGTCAGAGCCCATTGTACGCAGCATGAACGTGAGATGCTCAATGAGCTTTCATGGAAACCTTCGGATACTTTCGGTAGAAACGTCCACAACTTGCTCAGACCTAAGGCAACTTCCATGTCAGCTAGTACTGCATGCACTCCGACGGAGGCAAGCTGATTGAACGCCAGCATTCTTTTTTGGCATGTTGTCTTACCTTAGACCGGCCAAAGCATCAAGACGGTGACCTGCGGGAGCCCGGTTTCCAGAGTCCATGCCCAAGAAGACAAGCCGTGGTTCTACGAGTGTTGACAGATTGTGGGCTAAGGTTGTGAGCGTGGACGGCCGCTGCAGCCCTCTGTCATCACCAGCTGGGCACTTGGCTTGCTGGATCTTGTTGGCATGTCAAAACCATGCGGACGCAAATGCTTTTGCCGCCAAGACCGGGTGGCCTCCGTCTGGCCCTGCATCACCAATCTGGAGTCCTCCTGTGCGGACTCGGGTGCGGATGGCTGACGGTTTGTTGCTAGCTGTTTTTGCCGGGTGCTAGAGTAATTAGTACAACATGTGTCCGGGGCTTGGGTCCACAAGCTTTGAGGTGACACGGTTTGCTTCAGATGGGACGCAAAGCCCAGTCATTGCTTCACGAGCCCTGGCCTTGATCTTTGTGAAGACGCATGTCGTCACTGTAGGGCATTCCCTCTTGAAACCGTTCGCATCTGACGCTTGCTGAAGGCAACCATGCCGGTGGTTCCCATGACTGGTTTGGCCATGTCTTCGTCACACCCGGCCACTCGTTGAGATGGCAGAGTGCCGATCATGTACTGCAAGAGTCTGTATGTCTGGGCAACGGTCTGCAAGTGTCATTGTTGGGATACTAGCATGTCCACGTACAGAGGCATGAGGTCGGCACTGGCCACGATTGACCTGGGCCTGCACGTAGTGATTTCTCTGAGGTTTATTGCACCTCTCGGCTTGGAAGATCTCGCTCTGTAAGCGCCCAGTGCTTGGTGGATTTACCTCTTGAAAACTGCCGTCTCTGCACTTGCTGCAGGTCACCAGACGCCACTATCGCCAATGCTGGGCGGAAGCCTCAGAGACCCACAGAGATGTATGGACAGCTTGCAGCGTGCAATTGCAGCAGCTTTAGAGAGCATGGAGCCCTTTTCATGTGAAGTGATGGCAGGTGCTTCATCGAGAGGAGCACATCATCCTCTGAGAGACGAGAAGAGGAACCATCACCTGGCGCCATCTCTCCTAGACAGCTTTCCCTCCCTCCTTCTTTCGCGTCCCTCTCCTCAATCAGGAGCTAAAGCAGCATGGCTAAGCCATGGCTAAGCCTCTGTGTGCATCTCATGTCATACTTCGGACCGAGGTCCAAGCCACCCTGCACGCCTCAGGTTTTTGCAGGACAGTCCAGGGGACAGCGGAGACTCTAGAGTATAACAAGTGGGCCAAATCTGAAATCCAACTGGATTTGGGTACCTAGCTGGTTTCTCACTGCTAGAGTCTCCCCGTTAGAATTCGTGCTCGGAAACCTTCCATTGTCTACCGGCAAGTCATGACAGCTTCTGTACATGATGAGAGACTTTGTGAGGTCTTAGTGTAGCTTTTTTTGAAGAAGAAATCTGCAGTTTCCGTTAAACATCAGCATTTGTGACTCGAGCGCGTTCGGCAGAACTTTTGGGGCCGCCGAGGGCAACATCTCGGGCTGAGAATCATGTCAAGTCTGATTGCACACATAGACTTTTCAGTTCCTGCAAGTTGTGCTTGGATGTCTCGCATCAGAGTTTGGAGGCTATAGAGGCTACCGTGTGAATGCCTGCCCAGAAAGATTGGGCAGGTTCAGGCTTCGCATGCCACTGTGCTTCGATGGATGCATGATGCCGCATGGTGCATCCTGCTTGGTTGCTAGTGCGCAGCCAGAATCATCAGGGACTTAGAAGTCTCAGGTCCTTTGTGCCAGGTTGCATCAGCTTAATTCAGCCAGTCGCGCAGAAGTGCGCTGCTTGGCATGCATAGTTCGTAGCAATCTCTGCGCCTCAGCGAAAGTCCACCTACCTCTACAGGTTGCTTTTGGGCGTCTGCCAAGTGAAGGCGATGGGACTGTGCAAGAGGAGGGGCCAGGGAGCAAGTCCTTGCTCTCATGGAGAGGCGGGCTGTCCAGGAAAAGATGTCGACGGCACTGAGCTAGAAATGCTAGGTTCGTTTGTTGGCAAAGAGAGTGCCATGTGTTGTGGCCACGAGCTTCAAAACTTAGCTATGGGTTGACCAAAGGAGGCCGTCACTCAGGCCACAACCTGTCCCAATGCACGCTTGCAAGGATCCAAAGCTTTTTCAGGTGACAGCTCCCTGCAGAAACCATGTACAGCGGCCCCCTGGGAGCGAATCTTGGTCAGCAACAAATTTCAAATTGGGAAAGGCAATTCCTACCTCAACTTTTCTTGGTTTTGAGCCTTGCTGTTCAGAGATTGGGACAAGGAGACTGCCCAACCTGCAGCGCTTAGCTGACAGCCTGGTACCAAAGCTTCAAGAAGAGGCAAGGTGCAAGGGCAACGCTTTGAAATTACCTTTCTTCAATGTTGTGAGTATTTCTACTTGCGTGATGGTTTGCGATGGTGCTAGGCTAGTATTATTTACACCGTTTGCTAATGTCATTGACGTAGCCTGGACAGGCCGGTCCAGTGGCAGCTGTGCCACCTGCTGAGAGGACAGTCGACGGGGCTCCTACAAGCGGACAATCGGCAACAAACGATAAGAGCACAACGGGCAAGATCAGTTGCAACAGGATTGTGGTATGTTGTGGAATGTTGGCTCTAGAATCTAGAATTGACAGGAGAGTCGAAGACGACCGCTTGTCTTCGCAGGCAGCCGCTTCATGTTGAGACCATCTCAGTGTAAGGGTAGCGGAGATGTCAGGTTGCCCCTTGGGGGCAATTTCGTGACCTCATCCGGGAGGAGATGTGCGTTTGCCAGGTTTATTTGCTTGAAAAGGTTCCACAATAACGCATGCTCATGGTAAGACGCCTGTCCTTCCATGTTGGCATTGCCAGGTCAGCAGCCCTGACCGCAGTTCACGATAGCGCTGCAGCGGCCCCTGTTTATGAGTTAAAGCGTTCAGGACCCTGTAGCTGTCTATGATGGCGTAAAGGATGTAGATGGACTATTCCCATGGTGCATGCCCAAGTACATGTTGATTGAATCGAGAAACCTGCATCTCGCGAAGCTGGCAGTTCCAGCATCCCAGTCACTTCGGAAAATTCTGAGTCGAGCAGCCTGGCAGTCTTGACACCTTCAGGCAAGACCGATGCAGTTCATCATAAACAACAACGCTCAGGCCATAAAACAGGTGTATAGGAATGCGCACCCATCGCAGATTGGGTTTTGAGGCGAATGTGGAGCAGCACGCACCTGCGGCTCCGCCGCCAAGCCCGCCCCCACCCCCACCAGAGCCTGCGACGCTCTTGGAGGCTGGCGTACACTGGTATGAATCATTGCTTGAAAACTTTATCGTATTTGTTCTTAATATTTCATTATACTTCTCAAGATTGTTAATATATTGCTGATACACTGTTAGGATGTTGTTGCATCTCCGCTGAACCCGTGAGGGCGTGCTCCGCTTCTTTGCGTCGCCTTGGCTCCGCACTAAGCTCCCTCAGTTTGTTCTGAGAGATGGTTAAAATGATGACAGGAACATTGCAATATTAACATCAGCCATTCTTTGAGCAGCATTCAGAGTGGCAATTACTGCAAGAATAGTTTTTTATAGCATGATAGCATGGAAAACAACAGCCGTAACCAACATGTTATGAGTCTGATGATATTACCCCAAGCCTGCCAAGTGAGGAATCGCCTTTGCGTCTTCAGCGCGCTGGGAATTGGGCAGCTCAGCTCGCAAGTGTAGCAATTGGCTTGGCATCAGCTACATCGGACTGTTTGCCCCATGACTGTGGCATCGAAGGCTTTACGTGCTGCAAGGCACTACGGAACACGACTTCTAGCTTCTTGTCAGATGCCTTGCTAGCCAGAACTACCCAGACAGATACACCCGACCACCTGACAGATACCGGCAGGCCACCTCGCCCGCAAGTGGCGCCTAGCTGAGATGTGTGGCACCTAGCATGACAGCTTCCTTACCTACGACTGGCCGATGTTAGTAGTTGATGGCTGCTTGGGTCCCGTGTATGGAGGTCCAAAAGGGGCTGGCTGTACATGGCATCATCATGTTGAATTCCTGTGCAAATGGCTGGGCTCAAGATGCCCGTTGGAATCTACGCGGGCTTTTTTTTAGCTAGAGAGAAGGAGGCCTGGCTTGCAAAAGCATGTTCTTCGAATTTCTGTCTGATAGTTGACCTCAGAAGTCTTGACACGTGCAGGCTTCTCGGTGTCATGGCTTACCGTTTAGAAGTTCACTGTGACTCCACTGGTGTGGGGGATCAGCTGGCGACTTACATTGTCAACAAAAATTGCAGAAAACTAAAACCTCAAGTTTGTATGGGGCGGTTGCCAAGGCTCGCCGTGGTCGGTTCCGGCTCCGAACTGGGGAGTTGGGATCCTTGCAGCTGGCCTGTTTTTTGTGTGGAATTGCCCGTCTGCTTTTTGAGGCACAGCCTTGAACTTGAAGTTATGGCAAGCCATGTAGCTTTCAGCCTGCTACAGTTGCGTCCAAACCCAAGGTAAGGCAATACGACTTGAGACGTCAGCTACTGCTTTTCCAAAATGGGCTGCGGCCTCATCAATGCCCCTTGCGCAGATACCACAAAGAACTGTGACACGAATTCAGGGGCACAAGCTTGCGAGCTGACTTTGATGTGTTGCTCCCTTCCGTTGTCTTTTGGAGACTGAGTTTTTGTTGTGACGCAACATGATGTTGGCGGTGTTTCGACTGAAGGCTGCTGCTGTGCCAGCTGCACGGCGCTAAGCCTTGACTATAGAGTTGGCGCACCTTTCATCTCCCGGAGGGTTTTGCTGTAACTGGAGGCTCTCCTTAGCTGTGATTTCAAGTTCATAATCGTCCGCGCTGACGGGCAAACAGCCTGGGAGGCCAGGGAATTCCAAGAAGCACTGCCCAGACTGATGTAAACCATGTTGTCTCGTAGTCTCTGTATCAGGAGCTGCAGAATCGCAATTGGAAACAGAGGCTCTCTCAGCTGGGCGGGCTGTGCGACATGTTTTCGCTGCCGTGTGCGTGGGTTAAGGAATCCACTGTCGCCACCTTCCAATCCAAGTGGACCAGCTTTATGCCTTACACATCCTTACACCCTACAGGGCCCTCGGCGCCGCGCCTGGTGCTGTTCTATCTTCTGCGTCCAGCACCTGGCACCTGCAGCATCAAACCAATGCCAGGGCACTTGAGGAACTCGTAAGTTTTGCTTGCGAGGTTCAATGTGGACGAGCTGCAAGTTCGGCAACCGCCATTCTGCCACGTGTTGCATTTCTCTTCTTTGCAAGATTTCTTTCCGACGGAGGGGAGCTGGAGTCGATTCTTGGATGCGCGTGCTTGCTGTTACTTGCACAGAGCCCAAAAACCCTGCTGAATCCCGAAGAATAACGCAGAAAACAGAAGCTTTGAGAATCCAGGGGGCACTTGGCACTTGGGATTCGAGTATTGTGCTTGGGATATCTTGGGGGTCGTTCCGCTGTGAACGTCTTTTGGCAGGCATGTTGACCTGCAGCGGACGGAAACCTACCGCACAGACCCGGTACTGCCCTGAAAACCTGCGCGCTTGTTCGCTGAGTCCCCACGTTCAAAAAAAAAGAGTCGGCATTCCATGGTGCAGGCTTGATTTGTCAGTCTCAGCATGCGATCAGCATGTAACCGTGCCAAGGGGAGAGCAATCAGCTTCAAGGCCACTGTGTCGGTCTCGCAGGCCACTCGCCAGGTTGAGGTTTCATTGAAGCTCAACATGCGGAACTGTTTGACCTGAATGTTCTTGACTTCAGCTGAGAGGTACCCCACCTGGGTCAGACGGCTGCTTGGTGGCAAAGAGCATCAGCCGAGCCTGTAGCCGATTGTGTCGATTTATGATGTCTGTAGCGTGGCCCAGGACCTTAAGAGAGACCTATGGTGGTCGCAGGAGGACGCTGGTGCGGCAAGCTCTAGATACGCGGAAAGTAAGACATTGGCCCGTGCAATTTTCATGACTCGCGGTCCATGGGTTTGTTTTTCACTGATGTCCCCAAGTGCAAAGTTGGTGGGTGCATGTGCTTTGCATTGTGACTGTCTGCTTGTCAGAGACTCAACAGGATAATTGGATAGTAAGCGAACCTGGCCTGGTTGATTCTTCAGAAGTCTGCAGGTCTCTGTGGAAAGGTATGGCGGTATGGCGCGGACATGGAGCATGCTCGCAGTTTGTTTTCTCAAATGGTAAAGCCAGGGGGCTTGGCTGGGGCACGTCGCCGACCAATGAAGAAGAAAGCGCTGATATGCCTTGCCTTTGCCGTGCCTATGCTGTTCCGCGTGACCGGCCCATACACTTTTGTGCGCTACGCATCCCCATCTTTGCAGCTGCGCTGCTCTTGCGTGGCTCGGGCTGCAAACAGCAAGAAGCAGCCTCATCCAGCCAACGTAGAGGGGACGTTCTATGTGGACCACACCTGTATAGACTGTGATACTTGCCGTTGGATGGCTCCAGGGACGTTTGGCAGGACGACGCATGCTCCTGGAGGTCAAAGTTATGTCTATCAGCAGCCAGAAGGCACCCCAGAAGTAGATGCTGCGGTACAGGCAATGATCTCCTGCCCGACTGGCAGTATCCGCACAAGTACGCCCCTGACAAAGACCAAAGACGTTTTGGATACCTTCCCAATTCTAGTTGACGAGCGCTTGCCTCAGGTCTTTCATCTAGGGTACCATAGTCCTAAAAGCTTCGGGGCAGCAAGCTATTTTCTCAAGGGCGGAACAGACAAGAGCCCTTACAACGTAATGTATGACTCTCCTCGCTATTCCTCGCGGCTAGCAAATCTACTTGAAGCTGCTGGAGGTGTTCAACTGATGGTCTTAAGCCACAAAGATGATGTAGCTGATCATGAGCGTTGGAAGGAGCGTTTCCCGGCAATGACACGAGTTATGCATCAACAGGATGTGCGCGGCCCATCATCTTGGCCTTACATTGACATGACTGGCATAGAGATGCAGCTGGACGGTGATGGACCGTGGCAGCTGGAAGAAGGCCTCAAGGTAGTATACACCCCCGGCCACAGCGCAGGTTCGATTACGCTCATCGCAGATGCTACACGAACGGGTGGTGACGGTGTAGCTTTTACTGGCGACCACTTGGCGTTGAATGGCCGCCTTGGGCGGCTGGACGGCTTTGCTCGGTATTCTGACGACACTTCCCAGCAGGCAGATTCCATACAGAAGCTCGCTGAAGAGGAGGTGCTGTGGATTCTGCCTGGGCACGGCCGGAGGATTCGCTTTGAGGACCCTACCAGCCGAGAACGAGAGCTGCAGCGAGCAGCTCAGGAATATCGCGATGACCCGCGTGGTCAGGGTGCCCCGGGGCCACTGTACCAGGTGTTGCAGCCATCATAACAGCTTTTCCTGCACAGGGTAGGCTGAGAATAGTACAGAAGACGCAGCGAGCAGCGAGTGAATCACTACTCAACATCCTTCCGCTGAATCACATTTTTGTCTGCTTGAACAGGCTGTATGCAGCGCCTGTGCCTAAATGGTGCAAGGAATGAATCCCGGGGTGCATAAGCCAGCTTGGGCAGATCTCCTCGACCTTTCGTGAGGTTCGTGGAATGTGACGCTCTGATTCGGCCATTTCAAATAGCCCACAATAGACATCAAAATGGAGTGGTTTGCCATTGAGGTGTGGCGAGACATTGGTAGTGCTTCAGATACGTCACTTCTGCTAGGACTTCCAAGAGTTCCTCAAGGTGCGACTGGCCCTTGCAAACGAGTACAAGGTGCCGCTGTTAAAGTTGCACATACCCTGACTTCCTGGAATTGCCACATGCTGCCTCGTTATTGTTGAATTTCTACAGGTATGGGAGTGCATGGCCTTCACGTTGTTTACAACAGTATGCCAGCAGGAAGCCGTCAAGCATCATCGGCTTCGAGCCATGCTCCAAGCTCCTCCATGCTCTTGAACAATTACCATGGGATCAAGTTGTGCCCTACAAGACATCAGGCAAGTGGCTCCTGGGATATCCAGGCGGCGCAGTGCGCAGCTTTTAAGCCTCTCCATTTAGAATGTGCTGCGTGCAAACCTGCTAGCCGAGATGGACCGGTCCTTTGCCTGAGCCATAGAGAATTGGGAGGACCCCACGTTGCGGCAAGAGTCTCGACGAGGGCTGGGACTAGGCAGAATAAAGCTGCGCTTGCTCCCCAGATGCCCAGTCGTTTGCAGTCCCAGCCCCGAGAGCATGCTGGCTAAGGTCAGAACAACACGCCGCTGGGCAGGGCTTAAAGCATACATAGACCATCAGACATTGGCTGCAACTTCCTGCTCAGTAGCTGGAGCACGTCCACTTTTCTTCAGCTGCCCGAGACAGGAGATCAATCAAGCTGCAGTGCAAGCAACCTAGGCGAGCTTACCTGGCTGCCGTGGTGAACGAGCAGTCCAGGCCGCCTGAAAACTGCGGGAACACTGCGAAATCACAATGGGAAGCCTTGACATTCGGATCAAACCTTGTATGCCGTCAGCATTGGATCATAGCTTTGACTTCCTTTGCTTTTGCGATGGGCAGGGGGTTACATGGCACGAATTTTTCAGATTGAGCCAGGGTTTCAGGTGCAATCTCACTTTTGTTTTTGCTGCGTTTGGACTGACATGAGCTCTGCAGCAGAATGGAGTTTAACCAGAACCTCAAAAGCTGAAGGTGTCTGGAGCCTGTGTATGTTTACGCGGCCTTCCTCCTGCATACCACAATTCCCCAGGGCTGAAGCCTGTTATAGAGTCGTTGAAGCCCATGTTGTGGCAGGCAACGACGGGAAGCGAACTGGGCACCCAGCTTTCAGCTGGATGATGCACCTTGACAGCAAGTAGTCCCAAGCCCTGAGCCCAAATATGTTCCTAATACTTCGTTTTGGGACCTCTACCCAAATCATGGGGACCTCTCCAGCAGAATGAGATTACCAGCAGAGGAATTCAGGGCCGTAGGATCATCTGCTGTAAATTTCTCCTGCAATTAGGTTTGGTGACCCAAAGGGGAACCACTTCTTGCTCGTGCAACAGTGGTCAAGTGTTTGCGAGGTCAAGCTGTCCGACGTTGCGAGAAGAATATCCAAGAATGATGTGCCTCGGTTGGTTCAGGTGTGAATCGTTGCCCACGAATCATTTTGGGCATACTTGGGAACGTCTGGTGAGGCGGACTACTCGATTGAGCGAGCCCTCAAGGATCATGACGCAGTCTGCTGGTTCCCCAGCGGGGACCTCCAAGAATCCAAAGTGGACCCCTATAACTCTTCGAAACCTCCAGTGGTGTGTAGTACGGGGACATTGTAGGAGAGTCCTATGGGAAATTCCCGCGTAGGGCTTCCCCGAAATTTTGGGTTCCTTCGGTGCCGCTTCCTTTTGAAGGAACCTGGGAGAACCACAATCTCTCCTAGGCAAGGAACTGGAGATGTCAAAGAAGCTGGATGAGGCTGTGGCAGCTATGTCCTTGGTCATGCTGCTTGAGCATGCAATCATTATATGATGTAATAAGCACTGGAAGCGAAGTAAGGTTACTTGTAGAGTTGCATGATGTTGTATGCGGGCATATGTTCTGGGATGGTGGCAAATCTTTTCTCAGATCTCGTCTTGCGACCTGGATGTGTCTGCATATGTCCGCATCTGGTGGTTTTTTGCTTTCGCAATCTTTGCGAGTCCTCTGAAGCTAGGTGAACCAAGTCATGTTGGCAATCGCCAGGAGTCGGCAGGAAACGAGTCAATGGAACAGCCTGAGCAGGACGAAGCACTTCAGTCTTCCATGCATCCATGCTCAGAAACCGGTACAAATGCGTTACTTTATGAGCATTCCAGCTTTAGTCAACAAGGTGTTATCGCTTTTGGTAGGTTTTTTGTTTTCGATCGGAAGGTTAAATTGACGAATAATCGTGCCCAGGATGTAGTTTCATTCGTGAGCCTGATGTCAATCACGGGATCCAGTTGGGGCAGTTTGTTTCTGAAAGAATCAGCCCTGCCCTTTCCTGTGTCAAGCGCAGGAACCAAATCCGCCAGCCTCCGATGACTCAGACATGGGGAGCCGGTCTTAGCATAATCTTCAGTTTTTTCTCAAAACTCAGGCCTGACCACGAAGCGGGACTGTAGCTAAGAGCTAAGCCAAAAGGGTTCGAAGGAGAGTCTTTTTTTGTGAAAGCCTGGTTGTTTTTGTTGCTTGAACTTTGAATCGCTGTTTGTGGTTGCTTCTTGCGTGGGGTTGACCTCTACTCGCCGTCAAACTCATCAAGCTTAGAAAACGAAGCGCTCGGGCTCGTGCCCATGCCCAGTTTCCTTAAGGTCTCCACAGAGCGGCGGGTTCGGCATGAAGCGGGTACCGTCTGTTGCGCCTCTGCCTTGGTCTGTTCTGCCATTCAAGCACTCTGACCCTCATTGCAACATGCCGAGGGATGCACAATATCATATCAGTGAAGGGATTTTAAGGGTTGTGATGTAAAAGGTTGAGACTGGTCCCAGCGGCCAGGTTTCCGCTAGATCAGCCGCTTCGGCAATTGTAAAAGTCCTCATGTTGCCTTTTGAGGCTCGTCGACAGAGAGGAGGCGTGTCTGTTGTTCTTGTTTGCAGCTCGAGGGTGTACGCAGCACAGCACATCGCATTTGTTCCGTCATAGATGATGGGAGTGCAGGCCAAGGAAGACGATGATGATGCTACCAGCAGTGTTGCTTCATCTGGTAGACAAGCGGACATAACCAAAGGCCTGGAGTACACAATCAGATTCCGCACATGCTGAACGTTTGCCTCTGCATGCTGCCAGTACCAAGCATACATTGCGGAGGCTTCGGCATCTCACGAGAAATGCTGCATGATCACGGGCTCCGTGCAACGGGTCGAAAGGACGACTCCGTGTGCTCCCGTCGCTTTGGCAACGGATAGGTGCTGCTGTGAGCAGTCTCATGTGGAGAAGACCTGCCGAGCAGAAAGCTTGTTTGCAGGTGATTCTCCTCAAATACTCCCTTAACATCCCTTCACTAAGTACTACACAGGTCTATATTGGGAGACAAGCTGACAAGCATAAACATTGCGGACGTTAAATGGTTTGGAGGGGACGGTGAAACCTTGTGTTTGAGGGGCATGTTTCGAGACTTAATATAAAATGATAAAGTCGTGCTGAAGGGACGTGACCGTCCCAGCCATGACAGGTGTGAAGCCAACGGGCTCGGCTCAAGAAGAACAGTTTCGCACCATGATCTGACAAATGTTGCGAACTCAAGGCATCTGCGTAGCGGACAGTTGCTTACTGTAGGGTCCTGGCCATAGGTAGAGGCTTTTGCTTGTCTTCATGTTTCCGAGTCTGAGGTCAAGAGTTTGATGTGAGCACTCTGGCTCGCGGCCAACTGATATAAGTTTTGATTGCGGTTTTCCGATGTTTTCCAATAGTGTGCATGCGAATGTTTGCAATATGGCTGGCACTCTCCGTGAGGTGAGCCATTTGTACAGCAGAGCAGGCTTCAGGCCAGTCTTCTGCCAAGCTGGCGTGGGAGAAAGCCACTAAGAACGTAACTAGTAACAAAGGTAAACTAAGTAGTGCAAGCAATGGCAATGCTAGGTGTAGTACAGGTAGTAATGCAGAAAGGCAGCATCCCAAAGCTTAGTGATGGACTTGAAACCTGTCATGACTTAGAAGCGGAACTGCCGCGGCCTATGCCCGCAGAGCCCGAAGTCATTTTCAGTTCCCATGCGCAGCGCCTTTCCAACAGCGTCTCAGATTGCATGTGCTCAGTGTCAGTTGCAGTCAGGAGTATTTGTAGCATTGGTGGCAATGGTCGCGCAGCAGCAGCAGCAGCAGCCGCACTGGTGCTAGCAAAAGAAGAGAAGTCCCGTGAGACTACGTCAGATACAGCACTAGATCTGCTTGCGCACAGCATGGGCCCCAAATTCTTTTGATGCGAGAAACCCACTGTTCGGGGTGCTCAACGCCAAGCATGAGAAGGCACCTCTTGCCCAAAGCGAGTTGGAGCCCTTTGGAGTCGGGTTTCTCGAAGTTTGTCTGTAGCGTTCTAACGAGCATCACAGGACCTTGGCATGCCTGCACTCAAGAAGCAATTCCTTAAAGACCTGGTGCGACCTGCAGACCACCTAGTGTGGTTTGCTAACCTAAGGGGCAAATTAAAAATGTGCCAGGGATCCTGGAGTTCGTAGTCGGATCTCAGCGTTGGCCCATGGGGGGAGGCGCAGAGCGTCTTGCAGCGCGGGATTTGGATAGAGTCACAGTTGCGCTGTGGAGATGCTGATTGGCAGATTTTGCAGACCAAGTTCCCACGAGTTTTTCTGCCCCGACGTGCTTGAGAAGACCAGGGTGCACCTGCGATTCACATTGATCTTTGATCATCTGCAAGGTAGAGAGGGCATTGGGCCAAAGGCTCTGTGTCCCTTGTCACAATACGAGTTGTGTGCAAATGACTGGGTCGACAGCGATCCGCCGAGCAAAATTGTGTGCGTGTGCGTGTGTACATGCTGTGCAATTTTATGCAACAGCGACTTGCACCAATCAATTGAGTCCAAAATCCTTTGCCTGTAAATGGGAGTCCGAAAGATTTGGGGGTTCGCGCTCAACCTTTAGGGTTTAGGGTTCTTATACAAGGATTTTCTTCCTGCCAGGTATATCTGCATTCCTTTCCCTGTTCAAAATGTGGGAAATCCTGAAAGCCTTACCAGATTATTACCAGATTAAACTCAAGGAGAGAGAGAGCGTGTCAGAGAGATCCAGCGGACCATTCCTGCTTGGGGCAATGCCTCAGCCCTCCTCCTCCTTGGGGGGGGAGGCCGAAAGAAGATACACACTGAGCTACCCCAACCTCTGGGGAGTTTGGTAAGCATAGGAAGAGCCTGCAAAAGACCAAAGTATCTGCAGCTGGAATGGAACCGAAAGGGAGACAGCAGAGATTCAAGGAAACAAGGGCCGAAGAGCGCCGGAGCCAGGGTAAGAGTGGAGGATGGTTTGGACGAGTTGCCCTTAAGGAAGAAGCTCCCAAGGTTGAAGGAGGAAGCGCTGGAGAAGACGTTTCAGGCAGAAAAGGTTTCCAGCACCAGCCGAGACAGTCAAGGACAATATGCAGCAACGATGGAGGAGAATCTAGAAGCTGCCTGGGACAGAAGCAGTGGACAGGGCAGCTTGCAACCCAGCACACATGAGGAAGGTAAAGCACAAGCAGAGTCGAAATGCCAAGAAAGCATTAGGGTACGCGTCCAGCTCTACCAACGGGAAACCCGATTCCAGCGGATGCAGCAGGCAGCAGATTGAAAGAAGTTGATAGTTGGAATGGAAAAATTCGAGCCGGCAAGCCCGGACCCCCGCAGAGCTCCACAGGGCACGAGTGAAGCAACGGGTGCAATACATGGCGTCAGCTGACTAAGAAGGGAACAGCCCTTACAGAGGCCGATGCAACGGAGCCATCGTGAAGACTCGAGCAACTGGAACATCACGTGGGAGAAAAGTACACTGTGGTAGAGGTCATCAACTTCATTTGTAAAAATGAGGATGTCTCGGACATAGAGTTAGGCGGGTGCAGCTAAGTGAATACGCGGTTGTCAGACCATGAAGTTTGACAGGGACCACTTGGAAGGAATCACCAGACAGGCTAAACTTAATGCAGACATCTCGACAGGAACACAACGTGCGAGATCCAAGGAAGGGAGGAGGTGTCTAGTGAGTGCGAACTCAGCACGCAGCCTTATGAAAACTAGCGCGAACAGATCATGAGGGAATCATGAAACCAACGGCTCGAGAACAAGCTAGTGTGGAAAGAATGGCACGCAAGGAGGAAGTCTGAAAGCGTCAGGTAGGTGAGATGCCTGTCTCGTCTTTCTTCCTCTGTTGTAAAGCCTGAGATGCTGGAATCGTTGACTGGAATTGTGGAGAAGAGGTGGCTGACCCAAAAGGAAAGCTGCACCGCGGGTGTAGACCGCTAAGGACAAACGGGGAAAGTTGGGCTTAGGCGTGGCAGTGCAGAGACGTTTCACAGCTCACTGGAGAAGAGAAAAGACTGGTTCCCCGGCCCAAACAATCAGAGGGACGCCAGCATGGGCCTTTGTATTTTTGCGCCTGGGAAGAGGGCGCATTCCGGGCGTGCCGACCACAACTGGTGACTTGCCGTGCAGGCTGGGGGGCTCAGCCCCTGCGTGCTCCGATTTCGGGGGGTAGTCTCAAGAAGAAAAAGAAGCATGACCAAATACAACATTAGCATATCCCCACCCCCGCCCCGGCTGTGAAACTCCCAAGAAAGCTTGAATCTACAATGGAAACCCTCAACATTACATCATGATGCCTTCAGCCGTGCAAGTGGCAAGGCACTGAACCCTGATGACACTCTCAACCACAAAGCCCACTCCTGAACCCCGATGCCCAACCCTGCCCCAGTTTTCGCTAGTGCCATCCTGGGCATGGAGGGCAAAAAGGACCTCAACCCCGAACTCCAAGCCCCGGACCCTACAATTTTCTCCTTTAATCCCCCTATACATTCCTTTGTAATCCTGGTAGAGCCCGATATATCAAGAAACCAACATTCCGAAACTCCAAGGAAGCAGCGAGTCGATGCGAACATTTTCCTCAGGATCTCGCATTTGCTCTCTGAGAGGCCGGAGTTTTCGCCTGGTGCATTCTAAGCCCTGCGTTATGGTTTAGCTGTTCAAGGGCCTGGAGGTCCGGTTAATGCGGTTCGACTTCTTTATTACCTAACGTTTGGCTTAGATCCAGTATGAAGGAAAACTGGGGAGCAATTTGTGAGAGGGGAGGCTGTCTTAGTTGAGGCCTTACGCCGGACACTTATCCCGGGTTGGAACGGTTAGGCCGAGGCTCCCCAGGTAGGGAATGGAAGTATCTCCAGCTCTGTGGGTCTTTCTAGTAAGACATGGCCATAGCATAGCAATTAACCCCTAGTGCGTCTTGCTGACGAGGATCCTCTCGACCATCTCTGCATGCTACAGATGTGATCATAACCCCTCAAGAATCCGCATCATATGCGGTTGTGCCCGTGACAGCGTCTCAGATGTCTCGAACATCGACTATAAGTTCCCTTGCAGAGATGCACGAAGGTAGATGCCGAACAAATCTTGAATCGAGGAGTGTGTTGGAAATAACGGTCAGATGCTTCTTTAGTCGGTATACTTTCTTTCACTAAACGGGTTCGCTCTTTAATCGCAGAGCAACATCGCCCTGTTTGGTCTCAGGAGATGATGCGATGCCGAGTGCCCAGCTAAAGGGGACTTCCAGGAGTGATCGGGGCTTGTAGAAAGTGGTCTCACCAGTCTGTACAAAGAGCAGCACAAGCGCTGGCAAGTCTGTTTTGTTGCCATGCAGTCCAAATCACACTTCACGAAGGATGACGCCCAGTGCTTTGGAACAGTTAGGATGTGAGTAGTTTGCAAACTCGGTGTGCAAAAGGCTTGGTTGCAGCCTCAGAATCCTCCTCGAGCTTGTAACTACTAAAGCATGGCCTGGTCCAGCCCGCGCTGATGCGCAGCCATTCCAGCGCTCGAGGCAGCTAGTTGTCCTTAGCCGGGCCGCATGGCCCTAGACGGGCAACTAGGCTGGGGTCTGCTCTGTCTGCTCTTGAATACGTTCCAGCGGTGCCTTCCGTTTTGTACCTGGCAGTAGCTGGCAGGAAGCAAGCAGTCCTACGACACCGCGGCAAGGAAGGGCTGTCTGGCGGATTATTCGGATGCATGGTGGTAACATGAAATGTAATGTCTTTTTGTTTCTTTTCAAATCTGTGGGTAAGAGTCCCCGTTTCTTGTGAGGAGCCATGCGGAGTTTCCAGCCGGGACTTCCTGGGGGCGATTCCTTCGATGCTGATGGCATGCAAGCATGTCAGGTTCCACAGGCCTTGAACCTGCAGGCCTCACCAGGCCTACCGATGACAATCTTGGGGGGTCAGGCATCCTTCATGTCCAGTCCCGGTGGCTACACTTCTGGGCTTGGCCTGCAGCTTCCGAATCCACAGCCACAAGTGCCACAGTTTGGCAGTTTTGCCCAAGCTCTGCCTTTGCAACCGTCCCCAAATATGCCCTCTCAAAACATGCAGCCGCAGCGGCCGGAGGCTCCTGAGCGAGGCAACTCCCAGTGCGGAGCGGGTGGCGTGGCTATGCCAAACCTGGGAGTGATGACCCCCGTATGGAACCCTGATGGATCGCAGCCTGTAAGTGGCTTGGGAATCATGTCAGGGGTGTCTTCACAGAACCAGGCAGACAACCTCCGACTCTCAGGGCTTCCTGTCAGTCAGATGGCTGAGGGACAGATATCGCAAGGCTTCACAAACTCCTCCCAGATGCAGCAGATGGCAATTTTGGGTGGCATGCCAGCGCAATCGCAGCCTGGACAGTTGCTGGGAGCCTTCTGTGCCCAGCTTTTGGGTAACACGCTGCCGGCACCAATGGGCGAAGGCCCACGGCCTGGCAACCCCCTGCCAAGCCTGCCAAGCGGCAACCCTCCCAGCGGCCCGAGCTCTTTTCACAAGCTTCCGGAATTTCAGGACCCTGTACGCCAGCCCTGGATGCCGGATTTGGGTCGGGAGTCCCTGGAACCTCCCCGTGAAGAGAGCCAGCCACAGCCGAACCAGCTTCTCCAGCTGCAGCAGCAACAGTTGATCCTTCAACAACTGGCACAGCCACCTGCGCAGTCCGGCTGCTTTGGGATGGGTGACCAGCCCCAACCGCAGCCTATGCAAATGCAATTGCAACCACAATCGCAGCAGCTTCAGATGCGGCCGCTTTCCGGGCCCAACACATATCAGACAAACCTGCAAAACGACTTTGCCCAGGAGTTGTCAGGCCAGCTTCCACTCGAACGTGAGGAGAAAAGGCTGGGAGGTGGTCCAGGCATGCTGAACTTCCCCAGCCTTTGCACCTCGGCTTGCCAGCCATGCGGTTCTTGAAGTGGCGACGGGTAGTTGGAGGCAGAGGCAGCGTCTTGCAGCCGAGGTGGCGGTGGACGATCGCCGGAGCTGGGGATTTTTCAGCTGGGCCCTCAGAGTTCTTCAGCCAGCTTGCGTAGGAAGCTCAGGTTGCAAGTATAGCTCCCAAGCGCAGGAGGTGTTCGCAAACTGATCGGCAGGCAGAGTCCTGAAGACCATCCCACCGCAAACAGCGTGACTAACGGCCTGTTCATGGACGACTTGCAGAACACGTTTGATGCAGGCACTGTTGAGCAGAATGTGCTGTGAGTCTTGTGCTGACTGGAGTATAACAATTCTGAGTTTTTGTGAGGCTTTCCCAGGCGGCCCGAGGCAGGGCATCTCCCATGGCACTTGAGTCCCAGCCCGGCATCGCATGGGGTTGAGACACGAAGCATCAAGCAGATGCTTCGTTCAGGCTGGCAAAGGCCTACGCCCGGACCAACTGCAGTGATCTCAGCTTCCGGTTCAGACCTTGAGCGTGTGCATCATCATCAGCAGTAGAAGCACCATGCCGACTGTCCACATCTCAGTTTTTAGCCAAGCTTCTCCTACCCATTCCTGTCCCATAGAGCAGTGCCCAAGAGCCCGCAATAGCTCATCTCTACTGCACTGCCATGTTTTCACGGCCCTTCACAGCCCATGATCCTGCCATGTCCTGGTCTTGCCTGACTCATCAAGAGTCACATGAAATCATTGCTGCGCATGCGTATTTGAAACGGTCTTGGAACGCATTCCCAGGAGCATAGAAATCAGAGATAAGCTTGCGTCATTTCGCTGCAAGGAACGGTGGCTTCGATATTCGTGTTGGCTTTATAGGCCAGGCCGTGCGCTCCTCAGCGTGTTGCATTTTGCCATTCGCAGCTGTGGCCAGACTGGTTGGATTATCCTCACCGGTAGTGCGACGAGTATCATTGGCCATGCTTCAGGTCAATCCTGGCCAGGTTCGGGAGATCTTCAGGTGCCAGCCCTGCAGACATGGTGTCCCTAGAGTGTTGGACAGTAGAGATAGAATGTCAAAATGCTGGACATGTGAACCCTTCTTTCCGTGGCCACTTTTTATTTGTTCATACTCCCGGAACTTATCATCTATGCAACACCAACCAGTTGCGGATGGACAGGTAACAGGTAGACCGTATGTATGTATTCAGATGGACAAGCCTCGAATATACAATGGAGATGTTATGAACATATGAAAATAATCGCATAGCAATCGAAACATTTTAATGAAAACAATTAGTCTCTATGATTGTTTGGAGTTTTTTTTTACCGGGTCTTCACTCTGAGGGCCCTGCGCAAATCATTGAGAGGAGAATGGAGGTATCAGAGCTTGTCATAATTTGACCGTTTTGTTTCTCAGCAGACAGAGGATTACATAAGTAGCTAAGCCAAAGACCAACTGAGCAAGTATGCTGACTATTAGAGAAAGTTGCAAGAGCCTGAGGATTAGGCGCAGCCGCGATGTAGACAGCATTCTTGAAGGCAAGCCGGCAAATAGAACCATGGTAAGAAGAATAATGATGACAATAGTGGTGCAGAAAGCTCACCGCAAGGATCTGCTGTTGCAATGTTCAACGGTATTACTCCACTGCATTTGAAAACGGCCCTGGGCGCGTAATGGGACTCAAATGTGGGCTGGAAAGGTGAGGTGTTGCCACAAATTATTCCATCAGCCTCCAAGGGTGATGGTGACAACCCATAGCAATCTTATATGAAGAAGGGCGATCATTTTCCACAACAGATGCACGCCCTCGGTAGTGATACTGGCCAAGAAGAAGAAGGTAGCAGGAACACACGTTAAAACGGAGGATGCTCACAGTTTCGTGGTTATCTTCTTCAGAATCTTCAGATAGCATCTTATCCTGCAATTCGCATGGGAGGCGGAAGGGCCTTGAGATCGCCTCGATCGACATGCAAAGGCGATGGGTTTACCCGTCCAGCATCCGGGAAAGACTGACATGCTGCGGCTGCTTCCACGTCCAAGTGGATAATCAGGCCAAACAGTAAACACACAAGAGTTGTTGAACATGATGGAGTACAAGGACAAAGCCCGCGAATGTCGCTGGGGCATACAGAGAAGGGAGTTTCTCAAAAATTGGGACTCTTTGTACGCCCAGCATAGTCGATCCTTGAGCCTCGGGCTGACAGATTTTGGATTGGGGGTGCGCCCCCCGAACGAGCACAATATTTTAACAGCTTTCAACCCTGTTTACATTATTCCGGATTTGGGGCCCATATCATACATGTTGGGTGCTTGATGCCCTAGCCATCAAAAGGTAGGGTAATTTGGTATTTCTCAGAATTGTGAACCCTTGTGTACCTGCGCCAAAGTAGCATTTACTGGGAGGTTCCCAAGCAAGAGGCCCTTGATTTTGCGAAAGCGCTTTGCAATCCCTGAAGTATCCCTGACAAGATCCTACACAGCACTTGCCCTTCCAGGTAGGAACACACTCTGGCTGTAACCAGATTGCGCCCATCGTTCTTTATAACTAATGACTGACAAACGTTTCGTAAGATGCTTACCTGAAACTTCTGCAGGCTCAGCAATCGTGGCGCAGCCTTAGTGGCTTTAGCAGATCCAGGTAAGGCCCGTCGGGCAGTGGAGCTTTGGCAGCAATTCAGTATGGGAACTCAAGCCATTAGCAGAACTGTTTCCGGTGTTATGTTTGTCTTGGGTGGATTACTGTATGTGTACAGTGTACAGGGGGTAAGGGGATGAGATGGTTTGGGGCACCTTTATTGAAGACGTCGCCGAAACGGCCTCACCTGTATCCCCGTCATGGTCCCGTCTACCCCCCAACTTGTCGTCGAATTGTTCGGAACAGATTTGAGGTGATGTGATTGTTCAGTGTGTTTCATCTTGCCACGGGAGCCTCTTAAAGGGGAGTTGTTCCTGGCTGCGGGCAGTCATCAAAGCCCGTTGCTCAAAAGTGCGACGGATTCCGGTTTGGAAGCCAGTCCGATGCCAGCTTACAGATCGGAACGGCAAGAGTGGATTCCATTAGTCAATACCCTTCAGCCAAATTAACTGTTTTCTTGATTGAGTGAATGCGAACACTGACGCTTGCATTAAGACGTCTAGAGTCCGAGCAGTAGATTTGGCCACTCCAAGGAAGACATGAATGGCTTGAACATTGAAGGGCGCGTGATGACTGTGGAGTTTGCAGATGAGCGTGCCATGGCAATCAGCTCAGTCTACGCTGGAGACTGGAGTTTGACTTGATCCCATGCAAAGAACTGTGTCTTAAACTTGCCACATGGCCCTCTCGATACGAGGCCAGCAAGGGAGAGTCCGGGGCCTGGATGCTGTGTAGAGTGTTTAGGGATCTGAAGATGCTCTAGCCTGGATTCAAAAAAGGCATTTTGGGTTTAGGGCTTGGGGGTTGGACGTTCGGCTATCTAGGGGCTGATGCCACCTGCCAAGCTGCAAGCTGAGGCCACGAGTGGGCTTCCAGCCAGGAGGACCCCCGAAGGGAGGAGGCAGGAACCGAGTGGCTTCGCAGTGACTGCAAGTCTCTTGAAAGGACCTTGGGGACAGATAGCCAGCAAAAGCAGCCCTTCGTAAGAGCTCTTTTACCAAGGGTCCAGATGCATTGGTGTTGCGACTACGTCTGGAGAGCAGGCGGTGGTATGATGCTTTGAGAACTTGCCTTGCCTGCCAGGTAAATCTGTTCCCGGAAAAGGCTCCAAAGAGAGTTGGGACAAGGGTGGGGGAGCTCAGAGTCGCGCGCTTGCCAACGCCCATCAAACCGTCTCCGTTGAGGTGCTGCCTTCGTTGGCACAGGGCCAAGCTCTAGCTCGAAAGGGGCAGAGAGCTGCGCTCAGAATTTGGTGACCAGGCAGCTGCTGTGGGCTCGTAAGTCTCACAGTCCCAGGCCTGATGTAAGGATGATAGGGGTCACCCTTTATGGGAGCCGATTTGAGAAGCCCCGTGTGCGCGTAGAGCCAATTGACCTAGGAAGGGCGGTGACCAAGGAGGCAGGATGATTGGCATGCACGCGTGTTGTAGTGTGAGCTGCCCATCGTTGCGTATGCCAGGCGGAAAGAAGGGTCCTGGTGGGAGCCTAGTCAGAAGCAGGCGTTGAAGATCCGGTCTGATCAAGATGGCAAGTTGTAGCAGGACAAATGCTTCGAACTTGAATTCAAAAGCGAATGCAAATGCAGCTGAGGAAAGGCAAGGCCACCAACAAAGGACTGGACAGGGCTGTGCACAAACGCTTTCAATGCAGGCTGCAAGGAAGCAGCATGGGTTGGTCTACTAGCTGAAGGAAGTTGACCTCAAGATTTTGTAGAGTGTTCGCAGCTCCTTCGAGGGAAATCAGAGACATGCGTTGCAGATGCCCCTGCGCAGGAGAGACTGGTTTCACGACCTCAGGTGTTGGCAAGATGAGATATGGCAACAGCCCAAACAAGCGAGGGCCTTAGCCGTGGGCTTTGGAGCCACGTGCAGCAAGGCCATTGACAGTCACATAGCACGTTCCGTGGCATACAGAACTTGTAGAGCTGAACAAGCCAGCATTGCATGTGGAGTCATGCGGGCAAATAGATTGTCTTCTGAGGCTTTTTATTGGCAATCTTTCGACAGAGGTGTCAAGCGACGACTTGATCGAGGCGGGCTACAGAAAAATCGATACACACAACGATTCTATGTGTGTGTATATACACACATAGATAGATACAAACATATTTTTAAGCATACATACTTTAAAGGAATATAAAGGATATTAACGGACGCATTTTAAACAATCTAGGCTATTTCTAATGATTATAAGGCAGTTGTCGAGGTATGACAAAACTCATTGGCTCAGGCGCTGAAGCCAGCAGGTGAGGTGCTGGGAATACGTCTTCGTCAAGGCCTCTCATTCACCATGATGACGTGGGAGCGCGTATCGAAGCGTTTGAATTTTGTTGCAGGCAAATATTCCAGCATTGCCTTTGCTGAGTTTAAGCACCCGGGATGCGTCGATCTTGCGGCATGACGCCCAGATAAAGTATGCAAACCATGCAGGAATAACAAAGAGAAAGCGATTTGGTGCTCCAGCGGCACTCCCTTTTTGAAGGTTCGCACCCTACAGGGCCTCGCGATCAAGGGACGACCAGCCAGGCCTTTGAACAACAGTCCTGCTAGACTTGTACAGAGGCATTTCATTCTTTGGTTAAATCTCAAGGATGGAGCACCAGTCCAGCAAGAACGAGCGCATGGGCGATGGAGACGAGCCCGGTGAGGCACCTCCAGGTCCCAGCCCAGGTCCGGGTGGCCTGGGTGGTCCAGGCGCCGGGAAAGGCGGCAAGGGCGGCAAAGGCAAGGGCCGGGGTGGGGGCGACCGCTCTGGCGACCGAAGCGGGCCGGCTGGGAGCTCGGTCTGCCAGATGCAATGGTATGCAGTGGTTAGAGATCATCTTCGGTCTTAGGCCCCTCGAGGCATTCTGCAGCCTGGACCGTCGCTTGTCTAAACTCGCAGTAGTGACAGTCAAGGTATGGAAAGATGCTCGAGGAGTGTCGGAGTGTCCACTGCAGGCTGCCTCCAGGTCCAATGGCCGGTAACTTGCCACCACGACTTCCAGCAGCAGAGTCCCAAGTTCCAAGCTTCGGATGTCGAGTCGGGATTGCACAAATTTGATTCAGGGAATGCTTGCAAAGCCTGGGGAAGCTGCACAGCCTGGCGGCAGCTTGGACGCCAAACAAGGCAGTCCACTGGTAACTGGTAGCGTTTGTGATGAGAGAAAATGCAGTGTCTTTGAGGTAAGCCAGCTTCAAAAGTTGGCCTCACTCCTGGCATTCAACTATGAGGCATTGCTGGAAGGCCGAGCAGGGCATTTCGCAAGGGATTCTAGCCCAGTCATCAGATTTGCTGTGCCCTCAGTCAAGGCTTCATCATCAGATGAGGCTGCCACCAGTGCTGCCGAACAGTGGTTTCTTTCTCTGGCCTCATGGCCCAGGAATAACTGGGAGCCTGACTTCTGTATGCAGTGCACTTGTGACTCATGGCTTCTGGTATCACGAGATATCACGGGGCATGCAGGCTCAGAGTACGGATGCTGTCCGGCAGCGTAGCAGGGTAGGAGCTGCGGTGGGCCCGACAGGTCAAAGAATCAGGTTCAAGACTTGCAAAAGCGCTGCAATTTGATCCCTTCTGATTACCCCCTAAAATCTGGGAAAACTTAGAGAAGAACCATGGGCTGGTGTACTCCTGGACTTTGCCGCCCACCGCAGACCCACACAGCACCGAGTCTCCAAAGACTCCCGCGCGACTGTTGCACGTGTCTGGAAGGCAACCGGTTTCAACGGGAGTGTCTGAAGACTGTAGGGCCCTGTCTTAAGGTCTGAATGCGGGAAATTCCCTGCCTCATAAATTTGCTACTTGCTGGACAAGTTTCGATAGCGCTCTAGAACGTGCCTGCTAACCTGATGCCTTCCAAGCACTGTGTGTATAATAGCTGGCACCAAAAAAAAGGAGGTGCCTTCTAGCACCAACTCACGTGCTGGACCCTGGATGCTCCATAGGCCTGGAGTTCTGGGGTTTCAGCCTCAAGCTGATTAGGCCAAGAACCAATCAAATGGAACATAGAGAGCTAGCTTGCAGCTGGAAAGAGCGCACTCCAATTCTTCAGAGTGTGTTTTACATGAATACGACACCCAACTTGAGACTGCTCATCCCAACTGTTTCCACCTTTCCTGCAGACAAGCTCAGAAAATGGCGCTGGATTTGTAGAAGGGCTGAGGCCATGTCTTGAATATTCTTCCTGGCTCCTTCATGCACAGCAGAGTCCACTGCTGTCGCAGAGTTTCGAGCTGGAGCAAGAGGCAGGCAGCCGGTGGAGTCGTGATTGAGTCATGATTGTGCCAAAAGTCATCAAAGCTTTTCTGATCTGGTTCTCAGTGCTGGGCTGCCTCAAGCATATCATATCAGGTGCCGCGGTTACCGGCATCCCTCCAGCGAATTAAGCAACATCGTTTCACAGGTGATGCAACCAGGAACATTCCTTACAGCGCTAATCTGAAGTTGGCAGCAAGAGCCTACCAAAGAAGCAGTCCAAGTGAAGCTGTTACACATACATTGCGAGTTAGAGCACGCCTTGGCAGTGTGCCTTGTTTTTAGGGAACAGGCGCCGTGCAGTGGAATGCCGCTTTGGCCTTCTGGTCATGTGAGTGCGGAGACAAGGAAGATTTGTCACAGGCGAATGAAACATGCTTACTATCTCTTAGTTGACGATGATGGCGTTTCTCGAGAAGGCTGGATCGGCTGCGACGTGTAAAACAAGGTCGTTCCACCAGATGCGACATGCTCAAAGTATGACTTCTTGCCCGTATAGGGAGGTTTGTTTTGGGCACCACAGAAGTTGAACGCATCTGTCATGAGAAGCGGCCCGGCCAACTCGTTATGAAGCTATCTGCAGGCTCAAGTGAGCACAGGATTTAAGAGGTTCAAAGAGGGTTCAGCGCCGCTTGCGCAAGACAACAGACAGGACGCCCATAATATCCGTGAAGGTTACGATCCTGTTTGACAAACATTGACAACGCTGCTGTTGACCAGAATCTAGCAGCAATGGCTCCGCAAAGCGATGCGGAGAATCTGACGCCACGGGTTGGCAGAGAAGAGTGTCTCATTTTTGCTCGCTTGGGATGTTTTCGCTTAGCAACGTACCCTGCTCCCTTGCTGACACCCCATGTCAGGACATGAATGAGAGCGCAAGTTTGTTTTCTGTTTGAAGCGTGTGTTGGTGATAGGGACAAATGAGGGATGGAGGAAATCTTGCACAAATTAGTGCCCCAAAGCATTTTGATTGCCCTTTTTGGTGGAGAGATTGGGTGGTGCAGGATTTCATCCATCTAAAAAAGTATCGTTAGATGAGCGAGTCTAGGCATCCCTGCAAGGCTGGGTTAAATGTGTTGGGTATATGAGAGACATGCTTATTTCAGCAGCCCAGGCTTACAAGTCCACGTGCCCTACTAGAGAGCCATTCCGCTGGTCTCGGGAACCCGAGGCTGGAAGAAATCCGAAGCCTTCCAAAAGTGGAGCTGCACGCTCACCTGAGCGGCTCCATCACACAGCAGAAGCTGACACTATCCCGCAAGATCTGCACCCGAAAGCGCTGAATGGCTGGTGAGCTTAGGTTGTTTCATAGCAGGACAGCCGTCAAGATGTTCTGCCTGCCTGACCAAGGATGGAGATGCTGGAGAGACGGGGTGATGGTGCCACGTTCACGCCCTTCAACTGCAAAGCTGCGATGGCCTGAGTTTCCCTGGTGATTTGCTCCCTTGACGCTCACGTCCCAGCTTACGCGGAGAACATGTGACGATGCCGTGAGGATCGCACGAACGCATTGGCAAAGTGCTTCGACTACTTTGCAAAGGCCATGTTGACGCTGAGCAGGCTTCACAAAACAGGAATGCTTGTGAGGATTGTTGTGTTGCCTCGGCAGGTTGCGAGTGTCATAACTGATTTGGAGGCCTTGAAGGACATGACTTCCGCTCGGTATGTGTGTCTGCGGTTGCAAGGTCCACTTTCATAGAGGCACTTAAGCTTGCCGGCGCTTAATGGACATGAGCGCAGAGCAGCTTGATGCGTTAAACGCCGAAAGCCGAAGGAGAGCACCCTGCATGTGCTGGAGCACTTTGCGGCTACTGGGCTGCAGAAAACTAGGTAGGTGAGTAATCAAGAGAGCTTGACCGTCAACCTGGGGAAGCCTAGACAATTCAGGCCTCGTCCGAGGTCTCATGAATTCAGTCGCTTACGTGGGCACTGCTACATTACAGAATGCTTCCTAGAATTCTCGAACCTGGGAAGGGCAGTTGCGGCTGTGGGCTCTTTCTGGGACTCGGCCAGCAGCCAAGCAGCCAGGCAGAGAGGTGCATCTACTTGGAGCTGCGAACGTCTCCCAAGCAGTTCAAGGCACACGCTGCACCGTGTTACCATGTGCGGTGGCCACTCTGTTGGCCCAATCAGGTGTCCTCCAAGGATGGCTCGGAGAAGCTGCTTGTCTGACTGTGGCACGCATGCTTGATGGCGAATCGCCCGGCCGTGCTGTGGCCACCCTGTAGTCTCCAGCAATCGGCTCATGTAGCTTCCAGTAGCATCCAGTGGCCACATGCCATATGGGCTTTGTAAATGTTGTGCTTAAGCTGCGCATAAGGTTTATCCGAGCCGCATGTCAGGACCACCACGAAGCTGCAATACTTGGAGACAGTGCGTGAAGCCATCGATGAGTTTCATGCGAAGGCCCCCCAGCTTCTGAGACTCAGACCGCCATGGTCCGGTGTACATGCCATGGAAAGTCTTTTAGGCTCAGGAGCGATTCGGCTTCGTTATGGAGGCGCGGTAGCCGACGGTGTCTTATGAGATTGTAAGCAATTGCGGCCACTGCGCAGGTCAAAGTACTTCTCAGCGTCGACCGCGGCAAAGTGACGTCTAAGGAGAGTGCACTAGCAAACTTCCCGCACTTCAGTGTTGTGCTGCTCCTGTGCCAGATTAGACTCAAACCACGTCTGTGGAAGTCCACTATGCCTTCAAACGATGTAGAGCATTTGGACGCTTTTTCGCCGGGCTTGCATGATGCGATCTTCGAGCCATACTAGTAAGGCTCAGATCGATGACATTCTCGTCATGCACAAGGCAGACTTGAATTGCTCATGATGCAGCAGGCTTTTGGCATGTTTTCGCAGCAAATACTTCAATGCCACCCCGACAGGAGCATTCTGATTTGGTAGTTGGCATAGACATCTGTGGCAACCCCCACTCGCCAACGGTGAAGCCGTACCTCCTACCAGCACTTCTGGACGCTCGACAGCTCAGCTATGCGCATCCATTGTAGTGCCAAGACAGGCATCACCACTTCTCATGGCACCCTGCCTCCTAACCCGAGATGGCTACTGGCATGCCAGCCCTCAAGCCATAGAGACCTGAATAACCGGTAGGTCACGCTAGGTCAATGTTTGTAGTGCCAAAAGTGCAGTGTAGCTTGCTGATGTGGTGGACCATCCAGCGAAAGTGCCTGCGTCACGGTCATGATCGCTACAACCCTCCACTGGGCAAGGAGAGAAGCCATACGTTTCAGCGGCTTCCGATAACATTCCACACGGCAGAAATTCTTGACGATGCCGCTCAGATGAATGCCTTGTCCTGGGAAGCTTACCTGATACATTCAGAATTGATTTTTGGGAAGCCAAGGAGGAAAGCGAGCTGATTGTTGAAAGAAGCTCGGCTCAATTCTACATTCGCCCCGAGCACCCACCTCCCACCAGGGTTGGAGCCGGGTGTGTGCGGACACAACATCAAGAGATGGGCAAACAGCTGTGGACTCGAGCTGGTGACTACAGTGTGCCTACAAAGCAGTCAAGAAGAGCAGTCTTTGAATAAACTGGCGTTATTACGAAAGCTTTTCCCAAAGCTTTCGTCCGGAGCCCAGCTTTGCTGATCTGTACAATGGGGGTGTGGGGGAGCGGGGAGCCCCAAAAATGGTCAAACTTGGCAGGCCTCGAAAATAGGCATGAAGAGGGGTCTGTTGCGATGCGGTTTCGGGGTGCCGTTTCGGTGGCCATGGAGGCTGTTTGGGACGCCAGGCGGCAGCTTTTTAAGCACATCGAAGCCTTTCTTGGGCATGCGGAGGCCACTCGCGCTCCGCCGCTTCATGAAAAAATGCACGCGCCAGTTGCACCCTGCTTCTAGGCTTTCGTCCCCCCTCCCCCCCCGCTGGGCGCAAGTTGACCAAGGCATGCGAAAGCTCAACGTCAGGCACGAGAAGCGGTGCTGCTTCGTGTGTGAAGTTGTGCGAATGTTGTCGGATTGGGTCGGGCTTTGTTTGATTGCCTATCTCCGATGGAAGGCGCTTGGGCCATGTGACTTATCTTCCTGATAAATGCCGAGAGCGCATTCAACGAGGCATTTTCGACGACATTGGTGTGGGCATTGCCGCTTTGATGCTAAAGAAGCCGGCAAGCCTGACTTTGTAGTTGTCTTCAGTGATGGAGCCGGCCAGCAATTGCCATTGCTTCTCAGGAGATTTGCCCAACCTCGAACATGATAACCAAGGAGATTCCAAGTGCCTTGTCGTAATCGTTGGAGCTAGAGTTGAATGTCGTCTCGATTGCCCTGCCTTTGCCCATCTCATCAAGCTCACTGGGTGTACATGACTTCTTGCTAATTTTTCAGAGGAAGCCACTGAGGCTTGGAGGATCATCACTTCTTGGACTGGTGGAAGAAGTCCGACAAGATCCTCCTTAGCGTAAACACGGATGATGTCGGATTGGGCCTCATCTGGCTTTGGAGACGCGATGTTCAATTTGTCTGGTGATGAGGTCTGTTTTCTTGTGATCTGTCCTCGGAGATTTACGACCTGGCCAGTGTGTTCTGTCCGCAAAAGCTGCCTTCTCATGTGCAGCGGAGGGGTTCAACCACTCCTGCTTGCCCTGCTACTTGCGTCAGGCGTTTCATTTATCAAGATCTGACGTCGTTGAAATCCAGCGGCAGGCTATCCTGTCAGCACCTTGCATTAAAAGGCAGACATGGCAGAACAAGACGGTGTCCCCTTTCACAGTTCCGTTTGTCACAATCCTCATGCGTCACTGTCATTTCTGACAAGGCAGGAAGGTATATTCTGCCCTTGCTCAGTAAACAACTCCACAAGTGATGAGGCATTTCATCCGGACACGAAGCAACTTCTGCGCATGTTTGACGATATGACGCTGGCCCGTATTCATACCTTCAGGAGTCATCAGTTCGAGAAGCGCCTTTAGCTATCAACGGGAGCTGTTGAATCTGCGCCTGGGTGATGCTTTCAAGGGGGTAGATCCGTAATGTATGTGCGCATCAAGAGGCACATTTGCCAGGAAACAAAAGCAAGGCACTTCTGAGCTGTTTGGAACATCCATTACGCTGCTAAAGAAGTGTGGCACTGCCGCCTGGCCGAGGTTGTCAAGCTCAGCTCCAAAGGCATACGTGAATCCAGCGCCTCAGGCGATGACTGGTGGCTTTGTAATGGCAATCCAGTTGACGCGGATGATTAGGCAACGCTCTGAATGGGACTTTGCATGGTGGAAAGTCCTCTTAGGGTTATTATCTCAGCCGCAAGGATTATATACCCATCCAGATGGCATATGATGCCTTTGACATGCAGGTCAATGGCTACAAGCGTCAGAAGCTGAACGGGCTTGCCGCATAGCCAGACACAAAATCCCTGCCTGCCGCGCACAAGCCGATGCTGCAATCACAAGCTGCGGTGCATTTGTGACTTCCCTTTAGAAACAAGCCAATGCTGTATCAGCCTGTAGGCTCAAGCCGAAGCATTGTGTAAAGAGTGCCGTCGATGCCTCTTTGCCCATAGCATGGCGCTGGGTCAGGCGCAGCATGCCTTGTTGGCTGCAGCCTGAGCTCGCACTTGCACCAGAAGGGCTCATTTCTCAACCAACCTGACAACTCCAGGTCCTGGCCTACTAGAAGTCATAGCCGCGAGTGCGATTACCGCAGCATATCCAATGACTCCGAGCTGGTCCCATCAAGGGAGGAGGACAACTCCTCGAATGACTCAGGCGTCTTTGCGGTGACTGTCACGTCATTCTGAAGCATTTGGTTGATGCAGACCTGCGCAAGGTCACGAGAAGTCTCACCCGCATGGGGATGTAACTTGGCTTGGCAAATCCCCTTGGAGAATTCTGGCGTGCATTGCGGGCATGGTGAAGCAAAGGACCCTCCGCTCAGAGACGCTCATGTTCGCTTCAAGGCTGCACTCAGAAAACTACTTTTGACGGTGCATGGCGTCTACTTCGCTAAGCAATCATGAGCCGGCAAGGTATTGAAGAGGACATGTACGACTCTGTAACCATGGCGGCTTTGGGAGGAGTTCACTTGCAGCTTCCGCGAGGCGCTGTTCTTGCTTGAGAATTTGAAGAAGCCCGTCGCAACTCCCACTGAACACCCTTGACCCGCCAGGAACTGTTCGAGTTCATCCAATCTGGCTTTGTTTGGGTTGCATCCCTTTGCGACTTGGGTGGCGTGATAGAAGTTGTGCGCCCTTGGTTGTTGTGGCTGCCCAGTAAATGGTAACTTGCCGTGAATGCAGTGCTGCAGCAGTTCCTGTGGATCCCTTTTGTTGCATATTTGCTCAAAAAACTCAGGTTCGTTGCACAGCAGGCGTGCTTGCTGTATATGCGGTTGGGCCAGGACTTGCAGAAGCCTGTCCACGGAGAAGGATACGCGTGCAAGCATGCTGACGTACATGTGCAGACGTATTTGTACGTAACTCCTAGGTTCCCAAAGATTCCTGTGACAACATTTGCTGTAGCATCCGCACCGAGGATGCTAGAGGATTGAAATGTCCTGCAGCCCCGGGCAAGGAGAGATGACAGATGGGTTGAAATGGATTTTGCCATTTGCAAAGACCCTGATGGTTTACATGCAGCCTGGTAGAGTATAGCCACATGAATTCTCATGCCTGGAACGAGTCAAAGCTGGCTGTTTATAGCCGAGGTTGGCCCTGATGCTCTTTCCTGAACTGCTGGGTGCTTTCCGCCTGCTGCTAGTTGTCTTGAACCCCACTACGTGGATAGACGTTGACAGATGCTTCTGCTGCACATTTGGAAAGTTGGTGAACAAAAAAAAAAGCTGCTCTAAGAGAATTGCCTCGCGTATGCTTCTTGCCTTCAGGATTCAGGCCAGATATCCGTGCGAAGTGGGCGTACTTGTGGAGCACGCCAGTCCTTGTCACTTCTGCCGCGATTGCGGAATCCCTGAAGCTTGCCATTGGATATGTTGCTACTTGCCCGCAAAAGACTATGGCAAAACAAGCAGGGAAAGCTTCATGGACAGCGGGAATCTCAAGTTAGGTGCTGGTGGATTCAGTCAGCATCGTGCTCGTCTGCGACACGGTGCAGGAAATCAGGGGTAGGAAACAAACGCATTGGTCAGCAAGAAAAGCATGAGGGGGGGGGGGGCAATCCAGGACACTCTCTTCAACAGTCTGGCGTTGACCTTCCTCATTGACCTGGACAACAAGACGCTTGCAGAGCAAGCAGCCCCCCAAAAATGACAGGCTTAGCAAGAGCAGCAGGGAGGTATCACGGACCTTGGCAAAAGGCGAAAGCTAGCGTAGCTAGTCTTGAGTTGTTTCTTGCTTTAGCCTCAGTAGGTGGTCGAGACCAGATCTTGAAAGCAGCGGGCTATTGACTCTGTCATAGGATGGAGTGGGAATGGTTCGAGATCCATTCTCACACCGCTTCGAGCTTTTTTGCGGGGGGAGACCGGGGCGTGGATGCCAGAATTTATGGTTCTGTGGCTTGCTTACTTCATTGCTTCCGGCAAGGGTCAGACCCCACTTTGCGAGTGCTACCTATGCTCCACCTGAACATTCTGCCGTTCACTTGGGGGGCAATCCGAGGCCAACGAGGCTTAAAACAGCCATGACCTTGAATGACCTTGAGGGTTGTGAACACTGCAAGGGGAGCAGGGTGTTGTGGTGCAACAACCAGGCATCAAGATATTGGCACCACAACCATGCTAGGGTACGGAAAGCTGCAAGGGCAGCCGGAATGGATGTAAGAAGCGAGCATTAAGATACTCCCGCCATGATCATGCAAGGGTATTCAGCTGGGGAGGTTGGATGCAGCCACCAAGCATGATCATACTCGTACCATGGCTAGGCACTAGTAGTGAGCGGAGCGGAGCAGGTGCGAGCAAGTGAAGTAACCCGTGAGCGAACATATAAGCTTATGCGATGATCCCTCCCCTAGAAAAAACAGATGTATCAATGTCAATGCCTCCCTGCGGAAAAACCCTCAGATCCCTATGGGAGAATCAATTATCGTCTAAGCTAGCGCAAAGTCGTAGGACAATAGCTCACCCCGTCAGAAGCTTCTTTCGCTGTCAAGCAATGCTTGGCGGCTCAGTGTGACTTAGTACTGGTGCTTCTGTGCCATCAAGGCTCTGGGAAGTTGCAAAGAGTGCAGCCCGGCGCGACAATAGAAGGGTTTATCCTGAGGACTCGATACCAACACTTGCACAACATGCATTTTTGCCATCGGAAGCCCTGCCACAAGCTGAAAGCTGGCCAACCCCTGAAGATTCTTCATTATGACGGGCATGTCAAAGTGTTCACTTCGCCAAGAAGGCTTAACATGACCACCATGATGCTGGTACGCCGGACGATTGATTTTTGCCAAGTTCTCGGTGGAAACTGCAAAGGCTTCTTACAGGCCTCTATGGGCCTGAGCTTGCCATTCTTCTAGTTATCTAGTTGACGGCACTGGACATTGACATGCCGCGGTAGTCGCATTCTACACCTAGCTGCATTCTATTCCAAGCCCTCAGCTTCTGTTTTCATGCTGGCTGTCCATGAAATGGTATCGCCCATTTGCCAGTCGCCACCAAGTTCAGCACTAGAGCGCCAGCTGCCGACATGCCGCGGGTTTCGGCCCGCGCCGAACAACGTTCAACACTTGATCACATGTGATATTCATCCTTTCGGCGCACAACTACTGATGGAACTTTGGCACAGCTTTTGGTTCGCAAGTCCGAGAATGACCTCCACTGGCACCGGGGAGTTGAGATAATATGGGTGTGTGTCAAATCAGGATTGAAAGGACGTCTCAGAATTCAGAGCTTTTCAGCGATGCCCTGAACGATTCATTTTGGATTTGTTTTGGCACATACCCACGTGGGTTCGCAGGTATTCGGCTTTGAGTACAAGGAGGGACGGGAGAATCTGCAGATAATGTCGGAGAAGGAGCAAGAAAGGAGGCGCCTGGGCAAGGCGCACAGCGTGACTTGCATGGTTCACGTAGCATGTGTAGCTTGTATGTGAGATAAAGACTCAGTTTCTTGGCTCCAGGGATCGAAGCTCAAGAGAGAGGCGGGGGCCTTTAACTCTTCTGGTTAGATCCTCTGGCGGTGCAGGATTTTTGCTCTTGAATGGTTCTTGTTGGAGAGGCCTGGGAGGACTGGAAGTTCTTCAAGAACTGTCGTTGTCTCCGGAGAGCAGAAGGAGGCAGCGCAGTAGAAGCCCTTATTGTGCCAGCTTCTCAGGCTGATGCTTCTTAATCCGCTCCCCTTGTAACAAAGCCCCTGCTTATATAGGGTTATATAATATCCCAATTAGCCCCAAGATACTTCCTAGATAAGTTATACAGGAAGTAAAATTGGGGCTAAGGGATATGTATATAATATTAGGTTGGGCCCCCACCCACTGATAGTGACCACAAGAAGTAATGGCAATTATATTAAGGTCCCTATATATTCCTAGTATACCACTATTATGGGTGGGGGCCCAACCCAATGTATATATATATACACACACATATTTGTGTATGTGTTTTTTTTCCATATGCATTACCCGATAATCAATGGACAAGCACATGCGACATGAAAGTAGCATCATGAAGTATTAGGGGGAATATTTGTCACTAGGGGCTGGGGAGGTTCATATTCGGGGGAGGCGATCAAGCTATATGCGCATGCACTTCTCTATGGCTAGCAGATTCCTGCCAAGGTGTTTGGTATTTATGTTTGCTTATATCCGCCAAATCTTGGTTGCTGCCTCAGCTTATCACTGCATGGGCCTGCCTGTCGTTTGGCAGGTGTGATGAGACCCGGTATCCAATTCACTCCAGAATTTTTCAATGTCTTCGTGTAACGCCTATCGTGGGCAAAGGTATCAGAGGTATTTCCTAGCGTTGACCAAAATCGGTGATGTTGCCGAAGTTGATGATCAGTGCCTGGTGCTCATGATGGTATTCGTGGTGGGCATGGTCGATCTAACAGCTGTCGCTCTGTGGCTAGATACTTCCACCACAAACAACATCAAGATAATGATCTAGATTTGAGACCTGTCCTTACCAATAACTTGTCCAGTCCAAAAAGAATGTCGGGGACATTATGCCATCACTGAAGGGCCTTCTGTTGTCTTCCTGGCAAAGGTCATGCTGTATTCTCTCAAGACCGACACGCTTCCCGTGGCACGCAGCTGATCTTTCAAAGTGTGGTTGATGGGGGTTGTCAGTCACAATTCTGAGATTTGTCATCAGGCAGCGAAGGTAACCGCAGGCATCTTGCCTGGGGCCAACCGAGGAGACATGTGCACCATTTGGCACTGGACTCAAGAAGACACACTTCTCGGACATATGACCCGCAGCATCTTGCGAGTCTTGTCACAACTGGCTAATCCTTGAGCTCGCTGTGGGGTCAAGTGTGTACTGCTTTGGCTGTTGGACGGGAGCCGTACAATTTTGATCTCAAACTAAGGAGTCATGAGTTTGTATCTTGGTTGCTGACCAGCTAGTTAAAAGCTTGAACTCTATGCCCGGATTCGCCCTCCATGAGGTATGCGCATCCTAATGGCCTGCTGAAGCTTGTCATGCATTATCCTGTAGCCTCTTGCTGTCCCTGAGCCTTGCGTCGTTGGAGTCAGGGGTCGGCGTTGCCAGGCTTAGACTCAGACTCGAGTTAGATCCCTGTGGAATTCCCTTGCTGACACATGGACTACTGACCACTCTGAGGAACAGGACCTGCAATCCGGAGGAGGGTGGATATTGCAGCGAGCAGTACAACACCATCACGGCCACTGACATGTGGGATCTTGCAAGAGAACGGCCTCTTTTCATCGCCTCTTGATGGAGCAGGAGTTGTGATGCGGGGGTGCTCTTCTGATGAATTCTCGAGCATGAGTTGATGGCTAAAAGTGTGGTAAGGCAGCGTGACCGTAATTAAGTGCGGACAGTTTCAAAGTGTGTCAGGGTGTATGTAGAGACGGATGCGCTACCAGATGCTCGCTGCAAAGGGCCTCGTTGCAAAGGGCTGCTTTTCAACCAAATACCTTCAGCAATCCTGGCATGAGCGCATTTGGAGTTGGCCATAAGCTCAGGCAGCAAATGTCGTGCCTTGGCAAGAATCTGCATGCAAGCAGTTGAGGGTCTAGAGGCCTTCTCTGATTCGTTGCTGCGCTTAGATTCAGGTAGGCTTTGCCTGCGTGCTTCTCATCCCGCAATTCTTCCAGTTGCTGCTACACTGTGAGATGGACGGCATGAACAAGCATGCCAGGTGCTTCGGGTGCCTTGGCAGGAAAGACAGAGCCATCCATCATGTCAATTTGCTGGGAAGACGCCTGCGCTTGCCTTTCAGGTACCTCCCAAAAGACGAAGAGGAAGAGGTCGAAGAGGTGTTCAAGATTGAGAAGGCCTTGCAAACCCGTACGTTGACACGGGTTATTTCTATCTGCATGCATGAAAAGCTGCATGTTGCATGCAGGAGATGGAAAATCTCCACTCCAAGGCCAGACATTTGGGCCTTCAGATAAGGCCTCACCCCACAAAGTAGTTCATGCCTGAGAAGCAACATATTCCAATCAGAGAGGGCCCCGTAGTTCAAACCTGTGAATCGCGTGGAGCTTGAGCAGAGCACGGAAACAAATGCGACGCTGAACTGCAGGTTGACGACCTCAAGGATCGGCTGAATTTGCTCAGTGGCGCTTCCAGGCACAATGCCAAGCAATATGGACAGCCTACAATGCAAAGAAGTTGCGGTGAAAGTCCGGAAGGCACCGAATAGCAACCCCTTGCGTGAGAATACACCTTCACCTGGCAGAGGCCGGTAGGGCCGATCTTCAATTCCCTCGTGGACATCTCCCAGGTCATCTTGATGCACATTTTTCATCCGTCATAATTAGCAGGTACGAAAAGGATGCACGTTCGACTCTAGGCGGAGTGTGGTTGATTGTAAAAGGGCTGACCGCTTACCAAAACCGACAACGTCACAGTAAAACGCAATCAACTTCCTGTGACCATGGTCCCAGACAACGGGCAGAAACAGTGCATCATGCATTTGGGATTGTAACAGGGTGTTCTAGGCGCACTTAAGAGCAGATAGCCGCAACTTATCCAGGATTTTCAAGCTGGCATGCCGCCGCCGCATGTCTTGTGGAAGCTTCTGTTGG